AGATTTTTCCTTTAATTATTTTCCAGTGTTAACTTTGATCACCTAATGTGGCCCCACCCTTTCCTCAGGGGGGTCATAATTTGAATGAAATTGAATCTATACTATGAAAATGAAGCTTTTATTAAAGTTACACGTTTTCTAGGCCAGTAGTTCGTGGGAAGATTCTTTAAATAATGTCATAAATTTTTCACTAATTCTTAATTATCTCCCCTTGGAAAAGGGTATAACCCTTCCTGCAAACAATTAAACTTAAACCCCTTTAACCAATACGGAATAAATAGGGAACCAATATTTTGGTTTGGGTGAATAAACTGAAGTTGAACCAAGAATGCTTTGTGGCAAGTTTGTTTGGAATTGACGCTGTGTTTCTGGAGAAGGATATGTGGTAAGTTTAGACAATTCACGACAGACAGACATACAGAGGGACTACAGGCAAAATGTGATCAGAAAAGCTCACTTGAGCTTTCAGCTCAGTTGAGCTAAAAAATTGATTTACATTTTTGGATTCTAGTTTTTAAGATGAATTATACTTTGTATATTAAGAATTTAAGTTTTTAAGCTTTTTTCTGTGGTAATCTAAAACATACTACAGGTCACCTGTAATTAGTTTCTTTTGTTCTCACCCTCTCTGGTAGTCTATCCCAATTTTTTTTTCAGACCAGCTATCTACAGATCTGCAGCTTATGATTTATGAGATCGATCACTTTTCTTTTCTCCATTCTAAAGAGTTCCAAAAAAAGAAGTTAAATTCTAGTTTGAAAATAGCTATATTGCATTACATACATCTTTTACTTACATATTTAAGTTGAAATTCTTATTTCATAAGTCTACACACACATACAAAATAACACAGCTCCAAACCAATGCCTGATTAATTCAAATAGTTTAATGTTATTTTTAACACCGAGGTATCGAGAAATCGTGTTCATTTCACCACAAGGTGTGCACAACTTCACAAATCATACCTGAACAAGTGATTTACACGTGTTGCTGCAACGCCAACCCGAACCACACCAGAGTACACTCGTTTTTCATCCCTTCAAGGGAACTATTTCAACACTGTTCCAATAAATTCAAGAATTCTTTTAAATAAAATTTTTCATGCCTGAGAGCAACTTATTAATTTTTTTACCTTTATTGTTTTAAAACTGAGAAAAGCGCTGAAATATACAAGTCAAACACGACATGTCATTAATGTGGTATGTTTTTATCGTACAGTTTGTCATCCATTCGCGTTGTTCGAACTTTTAAAGTATGCATCATGCGCACCTTCCACATGAGTTAACTTTTTTTTTTAACTTTTAAATTGCATGTTTAATATTGTATTCCTTACTATATCTGGTAACAAAAAAGATGTTGATGAGCTGTCATGTTCACATGTCATCACTTTCTGCTTGTGTGAGCTATGTACACTTATCAGTATCATAAAATAGTTTCCCATTTATTTTACGATTGTAAGGAGATGGGCGAACATAGCGTGCAGAAAGCCTATAGCTTCAGAATTAATAAAAATCATGTTTAATTTGTGAATTTAATATTTAGAGTAAAGTTCTCATTATTGAAATTTATGAAATTGTAATAAACAAAACTTTTCTGAGAAAAATTTTCTCGGCAAAATTTCTTCTTTTATTAAAAAAAATAATGTGGTATTGGTGGGGTTCGAACCCTAGCAATAAAAATCCTGAGTACCATTTTCTTTCGAGACTAGCACGCTAACCACTAGACTACACAAGTGTTGATGAACAGTGGGATTTAAATCATGTTTGTGATATGACCCTTGACTTAATGGACTTCAAGTATTTCTCGAAAAGATGCGAATGTTATGTCATAAAAGTATATTTTTAAGGTATAGTGGGTCACTGCTCCATATTTTTGGTAACCAAAAAATGTATATTTTTATGCCAACTTTGAGGACTAACTTTCAAAAAGGTGGAGCGAAGACCCACTCATATCGAAAAATAGTGTTATATAATGAGAAAATGACTCTTTTTGCACACTCTTGTGTGTGTAATATTTCACAGGCAAATAATTTCAATCTTTGAGGGATTTTTGCAAATTGCAGAGATTTTATATAAAGTATATTTCAATGTTAACCGAAATATCAAGGAAAATTTTGATATAATTGAAATTTAATTTTTAATCTTCAAGTTTGTCCCACTATAGGCTTATCGCTCGTCATGTTCACCCATCTTCTTTGTTGCGAAAAATCTCGATTCTGCCAAAAAGGTTTTATTTGTTAATGAAGTAAAAATATATAACATACAGCCATATGCCCTTAACGACGAATGACATCTGCTTCTATTGTTGTTTGTAGGCAAAAAAAAAAGTTGTTGATGGATAAGGTGTATATACGATTATACATACGGGAAAGATCGATATTCAGTGTTCAGTTTATGCGTGTGTGTTTTGCAACACTGCAAAAATAAAATTTAACATAAATCAAAACTAAATACTCTTACATTGGTACATAATAGAATATATAAAAGTGATAGTTATAAAAGAAAGTAACTGACGGAGAACACTTCTTTTTTATACAGGGAAAAAACAATTTAAGGTTATTATTACTTTAACGTCCCATCGTCAAGATTCCAAAGCAACAAAAATGACAAATTTCAAAATGTCATTATGCTTTTTGATAGATCACATGTGCAAACCTTGACATTTTGTCATACATCTAATACAGTCATAATTATTCCTAACCGGCGAATAATTGCGATATAGCAGTTACTAATTCACTGCCATAAAATGAAAACAAAAAAGTATCTCTGACATACCAAAATTAAAACCTCGTAATCATAAATGCCGTTCATAAAATCATAGCGTCCTTGTTCATAGCTAGATTAGACTCGTGCCATCAACATAAATCTAAACAGCAATTCCAAACACTATACCAATTCTAAAAATAATTTCTCTGTACCAATGCAAGGTTCGTGTAAATCGGGTGTAAATTTCTAATTTTTAAATATTGCTTGAAATTGAATCAATTGAATTGAATTAATTAATTGGCTTTGTCTCCAAATACACCAAGAACACTGATATATACAAAAAATTCTATTTAAAACTTAATGCTGTGAGAATTGCTAGGTACCATGATAAAGAATTAAAAATCAGAGCTCAAGTTACATGCAGTAAGTTGTATTATTCAACTTTTTTCTGACCTTAATCGAGGAAGCAGATTAGGCACTAGTCCGAAATATCTGACGTTTTCCAGGCTTTTTCCCCCACGAATTTGATATTTTACATGCCAGGAAAACGTCAGAACCGGATTACAAAAACTGGAAATTCGCCGCCTCCAACTGGAGGAGGCATTCTCGGGTTGATTTTCGATACTTGCTAACCGAATTAAATGCTGAATTCACAAGTTATCAAAAGTACAATGCCTTTGGTACTCACCAACATCGTTTATATGGGTTTGTTTATGAAATATACAGTCTGGTAAAAACATTTTATCAGACCGTCGAGTTTTCTTTGCATTTCGTGCATTTTAAAATCTTGCAAGACTAAATCGAAATGTGGAGTGATATTTTCTTTTCATCGATATTGGTGAGTACTAGAAGCATTGTTGTACTGATAAATAGTAAGTTCGGCATTTAATTCAGTTCGCAAGTATCGAAAATCAGCTCCGGTTGGAGACGGTGAAATTTCCAGTTTTCGTAATGGCGCCGGTTCTGACGTTTTCCTGGCACGTAAAATATCAAATCGTGAAAAAAGCCTGGAAAACGTAAGATATTTCGGACTAATTAGGCACATGCAATAAAAACAGAGGGCATAGAAGCATAAAACCTCAGAAAGAAAAGAAAAAAAAACCCACCGATACCTTCAAACTAAGTAACAGTACAATTTACACAAGGGAAAAACAATGTACTGAACATAATAATTACGATGCTGTTATATATGTTGAACATTACTGCTTCAGGCAAATCTTGCGTCTTTTCAAACTTAATGTAACAACAATGCTCAACACATTCCCCGAAATTGGAAATTTACGTAATTAGTGGTGCAGGCCTTTTACCGGAGGTACATAATTTGTTTCAGTTGTTTATATTTGTATTTTGTCAAACCAGACTCTAAACATCAAGGATACTGAGGTCAAATATAAAAACAAAATTTCCTAGTTAATCAGCACAGCACTTTTTTTAAAGAAAAGAATTTAACTTGTCAATGACACGTAAAATATTTCTAGGAAGAGAATTTTTTTTTAAATTAGTAATTTATTCTGGCTTTCATATACATCCTGTCTGTGATTAAAAAAAAAGTAATAGCTGAAAATTTTATTTAATCCTTCACCTTTATATCCGACATAAATAACTTGAAATGTTAGAGAGGATTGCTAAATATATATTTATTATATACCCGCTTTGTGTCGACTTTATCTGAAGATCTGCGCCTGTCAACTCGACGTGATACGACTCTTCGGATCAAGTTACTGTTATATAAAGAATAATACATACCCTTTTCCATAACACACCCTATATCAGCCTAAGACAACAATATCAGCCTGAAGGCTGAAGGCCCGAGGGCTGATATTGATCAAGGGCTGATACCAGATGTGATGTGGAAAAGGGTATGTTTTATTATGTTTATTACATACTTAGTAATAACATACAACATACATCTACTCAAGCAAGTACAAATAAATACCGGTAATCACAGACTAGCTTATGGTATTAAATTCCAGTAAAATTAAATACACATTTTTTTCCAGAGAATTTGAACAAAATTAGATGTATTATCACAAATACTCTTTTTTAAATGTTTAATCTACAAGGGGTGTAATATAAATCCGTATCAGCCCTACAGATCCATATCAACCCTGCAGGATCCGTATCAGCCCTGCAAGCTGGTACAGATATTGTGACATCAGGCATATCGCACATGCAAAAAACCTGTATTTATTACTAAGTATGTAATATAATAATATATATGTATTCCTGTAATGTCTTAGCTATAGTTTAAATCTGCTTTTAGCTGTTGATATACATATAATGCACCATGAAATCTTTGGACAAGTTTGTTTTTCTCAGTATCACATTCTTCATAGACATCTTTTCTCTTTATCAATTACTGATTGAATCGTGACTAACAAAGCTTAAAACTGTCATTGCTTGTAACTCTTGTATATGACACAGCTTGTAACTGACATAGCTTGTAACTCTTGTATATGACACAGCTTGTAATTGACATAGCTTGTAACTCTTGTATATGACACAGCTTGTAACTGACATTGCTTGTAACTCTTGTATATGACACAGCTTGTAACTGACATTGCTTGTAACTCTTGTATATGACACAGCTTGTAACTGACATTGCTTGTAACTCTTGTATATGACACAGCTTGTAACTGACATACCTTGTAACTCATGTAACTGACATAACTTGTCACTGACAAAGCTTGTAAATGACGCATATTTACCTGAAATACTTGTAACTCAAAAAACTTGTAACTGACATACATGTAATTTTCTGTAATGTGAACAATGCTGATGTTCAGCTTAAATAATGTTAAGTTCTTGAAACACACTGTATATATATATATGGTTAAGATGTTTAAAATACGATGTCAGACAGCTTGTAGACCACTGTTCAAATGATAATTCTGGTAGAACTGAATAAGCTGGTCACTGATTCGAGGCCTGACCACTGTCAGGGCTTTGTCAAAATGTCTCTGCTCCACTTTCTGACTCTGAATGTCTTCCTGAAGAGCAAACATAGCTGCCTCATGGCATACTGCTGACACCTGATGGTGACAAAAAAAATCGCTGCACTAGCTAATACATGTACATTCAAACCTCGTTATCTCGAACTTTATGGGAGCGAGAAAAAACTTTGATATATCCGAGGATTCGAGATATCAAGGGTAAAATACTTAAAGAATAAGTGATTAGGACTTCAAAATCACTTTGAAATATCCATCGTTTTCGAGATATCAGTGTTTGAGATACCAAAGTTCAACTGTATGTGAATTATAAAACAGCCTTTATCCATGTAGTAAACACTGATACAGAGAATAGACTGGAACATTTAAAATGCATTGATATATCTGTGGTTATTTATCTGTTTTTCTTTCTATTCAGTTAATCATTCAGTTTCTAGCTTGGTAAAAAAATTTTATTCTAAGCATGATTTCTCCATATGTATATTTGCTATATGTGTATTTCTCTGTAGTGTTATGCTACTAACCAGCATGCTCTGAGAAGACTGAGCTCATGTAGCTCTTTTAGTCTGTTTTTTTTTGTACTTTAGGTAAATATGTGCTAGTATGTTTTCTGATTTATTGTTTGCTTTGACATCAATTCCATTATATTTCACTAAGTTGCTAGCATATAAAAATTTTAAATTGTTCTATTTTCAATAAAAGTTGCCATATCATTCAATAAAATATAAAATGATAGAATTCTGCACCTTTGTATAATTTACAAAAATCTACCAGGTTTAATTCAATCAAGATAAAAAAAATGTAGAAGAGGAAATATTTAATTATAAAATCCTATATCAGAATCCATTACATTTACCTCAGCTCCCGAGTATTTCTCTGTGACCTTGACCAGTCCGTCTATGTCCACTGTGTCCCCCATTGGCATTCTGCTCAGATGGATCATAAAGATCTTGTGTCTTGTGGACATGTCCGGTAGGGGGACATATAGAATTCTGTCCAGTCGACCTGGTCGCATCAGAGCCTGGCAGGAAATACAACAAAGCTTTGTACAGTGTCCAACAGAATATCAACAACATTTACAGATAATTAATATAGGTTAAAATTAAGATTACTTTTACAAGGTTAATAAAACACAATCAATTAGTAAATAGATGATCATGAAAGGGGGAGTTTCGATAAGGCTGCTTATCGGCCCACTTATTTTCATAAAAATAAATTTCGTTTTATTTTTTCAAAATTGGTTTAGAATTCAAGATATATATGTTAATTTTTGTTATTTATATTCCAAGAGTTTATATGAGATGAATTCACGCCGTAGTTGGCACATTCTTAGATGTACCCTCAAATGATTTAACATTAGGCTAATGGGAATATATAAGAGGGTGGCATTTATCAATCGATGGTTAGAATATGAAGTGCATGACGGACACTCACCTAGTTTTCTTCAGTAATTAGATATACTCTGCACACTAATATCTTAAAATATGATGAGTGTCGCGTGTGCACTTCATATCCAAAAATTGAAAATTGTCTAAAATTTGCATATCTAAAATTAGAAGCTCCTGGTTACTTGATCTGACGCCGTGTAAAAATACAAAGCCAAAAGTAGCATATTTTTTCTAAACCAAAGAGAACTCTCGAAAATATTAACATAAGAAAACATAATTGTATCCTATCGTTATTTCCATACTTATTTCGTCGCCCGCGTATAACTATAACGTCACATATTTAGCTCACCTACACGAAGTTGGAGGAGCTTCGTTATAGGCGTTCCAGCTGGTTATTAAAATTTTTTTTTCATTTTCTTCATATCATCAGAGTCGCCAGATCTAGTGTGTTTTCTTGTCATCTGTCGGGTTTCAGATGCTGCATTTTCAGTTAAAGAATGTCCAGGTTAATGTTCTTAAAGCAGGTTAATGTTTATGGAGCAGTGCAGCTATAAGCACTTGTTGAGAAGACGTGCTTTATGATGCATCTTCGGATGCACACTGTCAGACTTGCTTCAGACGCTAGATCTGACTTACATTTTCTTGATGAATGCTCAGGGTATATATTTTGGAGCATGTCTCATTTTCATGTAACTATAATCCCTATCTTGAAGAAATATGCACCGATGATGCTACAGATGCCGGATCTTACATTTTCCGAATGACTGACTGAACTAAAGAGAAGTTTGAGGATTAGTCCATTCATTAACCTTCTTTATCAAGGATATGTTTATAGCCATTCCTTTGAATAGAAACTCTCCTCGCTTCAATCTGTTAGAGAAGGTTCACATATAATTCCGTGCGGTCTACATGTAGGGAACGTAGATTACTTCTAAGACTGGATGTTGATTTGTACGTTTCTGCAGGATATGATTTAACTCATACATTTGGTATTTACAAATGTATTTTAAATTGCGGCTATGGTCTAACAAATCAAATAGTGACTAGAGTTGGTGAAACAACATAAGCATCAAAAGGAAGTTGGGAAGCGCGAGGAATTACATATAGGTCCTCGCTTGCCTGAATTGTCTCATTTTTGCTGAAAACATAATGCACCTCTTTATGTGCGTAAATACTTTTAAGTTTAAGAATGAATAGAAGACATGCACTCAATGTATTTTAGCTTTTTTTTATCATTTGGCTATTTATTCACGCATTCTGTAAGCATTAGCAATAATAGTCCACTATCGGCACACCAAGTATAACCTGGTTTCCATTAAAAATTGAAAATGCCCTATTTGAAAAATCATTGAAGCGGAAGAAAATGCAAACTTGATCTACAACTCAAGTTTAGCACATATACCAAAACAAAAATCAGCTCAATATATGCGATTTTTTTTTTTTAGAAAAAACAATACAAAACAAAAAACGCCGAACCCCCCCTTTTTTTAAAATTTGTAATATTCCGTCAAAAATCAATGAAGCAGAATTTCAAACTCGAATTCCAAACTCTGTTTCTCATCAGGATACACTATAAATACCAAAGCCAGCTCAATATCTGCAAGCGTTTAGAGAAAAGTGCGAAAAACCAAGTGGAACAGACTGACAGATAGACAGAGGGACGGACGGACAAACAGGCGGACAGACGATGAGGAAACCTATAGAATCCTCCGGCTTCACCGGTATGGGACTAATAATTACAGTCTTGATAAAATATTTTGACTGGTAGTAATACGCTTGGTATTATTAAATACAATGTACATTACAGACTATGATTCTTTTACATATACTTTAAAAATATAAATAGCTGCATTTTTTAATCGTACCGAATTCCGAAATCTACTAATTTCAAGAATTTTTTTTTAAAATTCAATTTAATGCTATTACGGTACATTTTATTAATACTATATTTAGCACAATAACTTTAGTTGACAAAAATGTGTTGCAAACAGTGTCAAACACCTGTCAATGACAGTTTAAGATTATCTATCTCTTGTCTATATATCTTTACATTTGCTTTTCTACATACGGGAAAATGTAATATATTGATTATTAAGTCTAAATATAAACTGTCGATTAATTCATTTTTTGAAAATTCCTGTCTTTATTATTCATATACGTTTTATATGTTACATTCATTCTCTTTAAAAGAAGAGTTACAATTAAAATACGAGAAAAATCTTGCACCTTAAAACGCATTCAAATAAAATAAATATCATTAATTTTCTGTAAAGAAAAATATTGAAATTGGTTATTTGATGCCTTTATTCACATTTGTAATATTTCATTTATGATTTTGACGTTAAATAAACTCCATTACCCCCTTTAAATATGACCCCTCCAAAAATTTAGGAAGAGGGTATACTTAAATTTTTAATTATCACGTGACCAGAAAATGTGCAGTATAAATTTTTTTCATATTTTTAGGAAGATAACACTTTTATCTACAACATATCACAATTTCATTACATTTCTTGAGGGGCCGAAAAATAGCCTTATCGAAACTCCCCCTTTGATTTTCTGGCTGCTGTGAAGCAAATTTGACCATATAATGGTATTTTTGACAACTTTCTTGATGCAATGTATCTTTTTTTTCTTTCATGATCAGATAGATCATGTCTTCCTTAACCCTTTCATTAATTTTTAAAACAATACTTTTTGGACATGTTAATAATTAATGAACATATTTCTTGCACATTATAACAGCAGTATCATGACAAAAAATTATAATAACACTACAGGTCTCACCTTATCAATCATATCAGGGCGGTTTGTAGCTGTTACGATGGTGACGTCTCTTAGACTCTGGACTCCATCTATTTCTGTCAGAAGCTGGGCAAGGACACGATCCCCAACATTACTGCTGCCCGAGGAACTGGACAAGGAAAGAAGACACAATGTTTACACATACACTGTTTATCTACTGTATTTATATGTACTATAAACATCAACGTATCACCTGATGTAATAACCTCAGTGACACTATTTAAAGGAAAAAATCAGACTTCTGCCTCCAATTGCTTTTTACTACATGTATAACATGAACATATCTTGTACAATAAACCCTACTGATTTCCATAATCACATACTATGTCAGGAACAATTTTTCTGGTACTCATTTGGTATGATATTTTTTTGTTAAGTAGACAATTGCATTATCCTGACATATGAGCCTGTATAAGACTGTCACCGACATTCAATAATTTTAATTCCAAATACAATGTACAAGAAAAGATACATTTTCTAGATTATGGTTTGCTCTGCAAGGTGAAAAATACTTCAAAATAGATATATTTTGTAAATAACCTTTTTTTCAATCAGTACATGTATTTCAATTTTTGAACATGCTTACCTGCCCCTTTCTACGGCCAAAGCATCAATTTCATCAAAAAAGACAATAGATGGAGCAGCAGCTCTGGCTTTTCTAAACACCTCCCTAACAGCTCTCTCTGATTCACCCACCCATTTACTAAAGAGCTCTGGACCCTAGAAATATCCAGGTCCAATTTTAAAACAGTGACTCTCACCCATTCTTATTTGGTATAAAGTTATAGACAATGTTATACTTCTTTGTTTTACTTTTTTTTTTGTTTTTAAGAAAAAAAAAGTAAAATGAATGCACTTTAAAAATTTATTACAGTACAATCATATGACAATATTTTTTTATCTCTTTTAAATAATTTGTAATCGGCATCAATTTTTTGTTTAATTGGAAACATGTGGCAATGATGTGCCTAATGGGATAAAACTGTTTACTGTAAATTGCTGTTGTAAGCACATCGTGACAATTTTGATTAATGTTAATGTGTAAATCAATCAGATACAAATAGCCAAAACTGTGATCATATTTCATCACTGAGAATAAAATGTTAAATACAATGAATGGGTAATATTCAGTTCATCCATCTTAGTTGTAACAGACTGTAGGGTTTGCAGGGGTTGAATTATTAGTTAGTTCTGGTACAAACAACTCAAAAGTCCTTCATCTACAACTTTAAGAATTTGTTCACTTAGTCTAGCATATAAAACGGCAGAATTTGAAAAAAAATATTAATGTACAACTTCTAATATCAAACTTTAGGAAAGAAAGACAACTCCTCTTGGCCCAAAATGCCCTGTGGTTAGAATTTGTTATAGCTCTTGGCATGTCAATTCTTGAGATCATTCATCAAAACTGGCACATTATTAATTTGTTCAATGGTAGCTTTTAGCAATCAATATTTAATTTCATACAAGTACCATTCCATCAAACAACAGATGTACACGCTGCTTTAAAACAAGCCCATCTCTTTATAGGAGAGACCGGTATATCAATATTGTTGACACTTTATGTTTCACTTATAGGAGATAGCGGTATATCAATATTGTTGACACTTTATGTTTCGCTTATAGGAGATAGCGGTATATCAATATTGTTGACACTTTATGTTTCGCTTATAGGAGATAGCGGTATATCAATATTGTTGACACTTTATGTTTCACTTATAGGAGATAGCGGTATATCAATATTGTTGACACTTTATGTTTCACTTATAGGAGATAGCGGTATATCAATATTGTTGACACTTTATGTTTCACTTATAGGAGATAGCGGTATATCAATATTGTTGACACTTTATGTTTCACTTAGGAGTACAGAAATTTCTAGCACAAATTAAAGTCTCATCACTCACAAAAAATGTAAATGACCTGCTAAATCTTACCTTCACTGCGAGAAAATTGAGCCCACTCTCTGTTGCTAAGGCTTTTGCAATCATGGTCTTAGAGCAGCCAGGGGGCCCATACATCAGAATTCCCCTGGGAGGGGTAATCCCCATTCTCTGGAAGGCCTCGGGATGTCTGAGGGGCCACTCCACAGCCTGTCTAAGCTTTAATTTGACCTCTTCTTGACCCCCAATGTCTGTCCAATGAACCTATAAATACACATTCATTGAACTGGAAGCTGACATAAAATATCTGAATTCAGATTACATTGATAAATGTTGTTTAGTGTATTATAATACATGATGTTCCTCCTTCAAATGAATTCAAATGTCAAGATTGCTTCAAGGATTTGATTACACATACTGTCCTCTTGTCAAAAAAATGATAACTGATTAAAAAAAAACATTCTGCCATAACATCATTTAATAAGCTCCCACAAGCTACATGTAAATATTTTTTATAAAAGTCATTTCATTTGAAGTCAAAAAATGAATTTTTCAATTACTGTACATCTTGAACTTTACTTTCATATTTTTATGATGCAGAGAGTTTTTCATAGCATTAATATTGTCTAATGATGAAATATTTACAAAGTAATTTTAAAACCCCTTGCTTCAATAACTGTTCAGAGATCACATCTTTAGTAAATTCCCGAAGTTATTTGAAAACAAAAAAAAAAAAAAAAAAAAGAAAAAAAAAAGACTTGCAAAATATCAGCCATTGATTGCATTCTTTAACCTACTTTTGGGATTTCCAGCTGAATTTCTCTCATTGCACTAGGCTGAATGGTTGTCATGGCAGCAGTGACATCATTTAGATTCAATCTGCTATCAGAATCTCTGCCTTGGAGTTCTCTCTTCACAGAATTTATTCTGGCTGCATTAATTATATGAAGTGTAAATATATTTCAATTTCACATTATTTCTCATTTGTTAACATTTTGATATCTTTTGTTTTTTGTTCTTTTTTTGAAAATAAAATATGAAAGAAATCTTCAAAAAAAAAAAAAAAAAAAAAAAAAAAAACCATAGAAAAATCATTTTGAATCCTTCATGTGTCAAAACAAAACTACTGAGCAGGACTTTTAAGACATAATCTGTCGTAAATCCTTAAATCTTCAAAAACACCTGACATCCTCTACAGTTCCAAATACTCATAATCCTATTTATGAAGTTTAAAGATCACTTAATATCAAATGTCTATGACTACAATAAGAATGTTATTTTCATAGATAAAAAAGTAGGAGTAAAAAGAAATATTGGAAAGGAAAGTTACTTATTTTCAATAAGTACTTAATAACACTGTGTAAGACATAGTTAAAAGAAACTGTGAGCTACACCCTTATCATTAGTTACAGGGTATGTATTAATGAGCTACATGTAGATATACCTTGTTGACAGAGATACAATAGATCTGCTCCTACATAACCATGTGTTGTGTCTGCTATCTGTTTCTTGTCGTCTTCACTCAAAATGTGTGGACTATCCCTCAGTAACTTCTGTAGAATCTAAAAAAGTAACTGCTAAATAACCCACTGAGGAGATTTTTCAAACAAAACACGTTTTCATTCTACAAGTTACTTAATGAATATTTTCTTCGTTAGTTAACCATGACAAATAAAAAAATATATAAGCATCTGTTATAAATTTTATTAGTGGAACACACACAGTGATTTCCTTGTAAGAAAAGAAGAACTTAAGTACCAGTCCACATAAAAATCAGACAAAGGGTGATATATGAGGGTTCTCAGAATTTGATGATTTTCCACACATAGATTTGTTTTGAACTATGAACAATGTATGTAAAATGAAAAATGTTTTGAGTCATGGTTACCATGGAAACCCGGCCAAAGAAATTTCCTTAGCAACCGGCAATTTTTTCCATGTTGATGGACAAAAATTCACCTATCTTTAAGGCTTAAAATAAAATTTTAATACCATGAAAATTATTCTCAATTACTGGTGTAATAAAGATACACATTTAAAGTGTTTTAATAATGCAATGAAAGAAATTTAGGTCTTAAGTTAGTTCTTTGCTAGCCATTGGAAGGTACATATGTTTTGCAATTTCTGCTGATTCAGCATTTTTCGTGATTTTGGCAATAGTCAAGGCCAAATTTAAAAAAAGGCCAGATTAATACAGCTGTTGCGTGTATTTCACATAAAAGCAGATGAATTTCTCTTTCAGAATTTGAAGTCAAATCCATGGGCCTTTTTGAAAATCAAATCTGTTGCCTAGCAACAAATATGGGCATTTTGATACATAAAATGAGAAACAATGTAAAAAGTTTACGGAAAAATCAAATGAATTGTTATCTACAAAAACGAAAAACAAATCTTAAAATAGTAGTATTAAATTTGGACTTCCTAGCAAATTATTGAATATTGTATAATTATTTATCTCCATAGCAACAACAGGTTCTCCATAGCAACGGGGCAAAGAAAGTCAATTTTGACATGTATTCATGTAATCTTATTAATATTTATTCAAATTAAGTCAGAAAAATGTCGTTGAGCAAAATTGACAATGAAATGTTGGTCTTATTAAAGTTTATTTTTGGTATACTTAATCAACCCATGGCAACTATTACCAGTACATGACAACCAATGTGCACTATGCCTCTTGTAAGACAGATTCTTGTAAGACAGATCTGACTTTGGGATGATATTGTTTGTGATGGAAATGAATATTCAATTAATGTGTTGATGATTGTATATGTTGAGAGAGCGGAAAGAATATAAAATGTTCTATCAGTCATGGCAACATGCAATTTCCTAATAATTAAGCCATGGCAATATGCAATCCCCTTAGCAACTAAACATAAAAACATAAAAATTCATAATTCACCGAAAAAACATTCCAGTTCAAAGTAGGTATGAATGATGTCGAATGGAATGTAAAACAAATTCTGCAATACAGACAACTAAAGCATGTAGCAGGTCTTTTCAAAGTATTTTATTGCTTTATACACCTTAAGTAACAACACTTGAAAAGTTAAGAAGAATTAATTTCATTAAGAATGAATGTAACAACAAATCTCTTTTTTTTTACTCCCACTTCGACCAGTGCATGTACCATTTTAGCCCTCTGTGTAAATTCAGAAGTGTAACTTATTAAAGCTCTCTAAAATGAGTTGATCAAGATTCCTCAAATTACTGATACAAAGAAGATCGGCGAACAAGGCAAGCGAAGTACCTATAGTGTAACAAACATAAAGGTGAAAAATTAAATCTCAATTACAAAATTTTCTTTGATATATCATCTAACATTAAAGTATACTTTATGTAAAATTTCCACAATTTGCAAAAATCTCACGAAGATTGAAATTATTTGCCTATGAAATAGCATACACACACACTAAAGATGGCAAAACGATCATTTTCTCATACTATAACACAATTTTTTTGATATGAGTGGGTCATCGCTCCATTTTATTGAAAGGTTACTGTCAAAGTTTGCATAAAAATATACATTTTTGGTAAACAAAGACAAGGAGCAAAGACCCACTATACCTTAAAAATACACTTTTATGACACAACATTCGCATCCTCTAAGAAATACTTTAAGTCCATTTAGTCAAGGGTCATATCACAAACATGATTTAAATGCCACTATTTATCAGGAGTTGTATAGCGTAGTGGTTAGAGCGTTGGTATCAAAGGAAAATGATACTCAGGATTTTTATTGCTAGGGGGTTCGATCCCCATGAATACCCCATTAATTTTTAATATCAGTATAATTTTTGCCGGGAAAATTTTCCTCGGAAAAGTTTTATCATAATTTCAGGAATTTCAATAAAAAGAAATTTACTAATACTAATTTCACAAATTGAATTTGGTTTTTTACATATCTGAAGCTATAGGCATTCTGCACGCCTTGTTCACCTACTCCTTACATCTATCTCTGATCTGTTACCAAAATAAGGATTTATTACATTTTCAACAGTGAAATATTGTGATTTATTTATTGAATAAAAGTGATATTCTCTCACAGTGTGAAAGGATACCAAAATGATATTCTCTCACAGTGTGAAAGGATACAAAGTAAGTAAAAAATAATTTCTGGCCTGTCATAATATAGAGATAGTAACTAACTATCTTGATAGAGCTAAAACTACAAATTTCTTCCCAAATATGTTGCTAAAATCCATGCTATGTAATGTTTTCAATCTCACAACTGCTAAGCTATGACGTCTCAACCGCTCAACTACATGTATGACGTCAAGCCTATGACACTGTGTTAAAAAAAGACAGAGGCAAAGGGAAAACCACAGAAAATGTAATAAACAGAAAATTCAATATTTTGTAGATGAATATGGAATTTATTTCACTCGTGAGACAGAATTTTTTAATATTTTCACTCGTGCTTCGCACTCGTGAAAATATAAAAAAATCCTGTCCCACTCGTGAAATAAATTCCATATTCATCTACAAAACATTGAATATCTTCTATGTATTCCATAAATAATGTTTTTCATGTAACTTGTACACACACAATAGGTGTATTGTGGATTAACTCCTAGACATGTGCACGATATTATGGGCATAGTTTCAATGGCTGCATTTCATCTCCGGAATTTTTTGAAATTTTCATCTTTTATTTCCAACATTTTAAAGTTTTTATCTCCGACATTTTTTCAAGTATACTTTTCTGCAATGAAAGCAGGATTGAAGACTTCACTTATGAAAAATTTTAATTAATAAATCATGGAGAAATCATTGAAATCCAAATAATGAGTTTTGCTTGAAGCCAAAATAATGATTAAAAAGATTCCCTGAGACACATGTAAGTATTGTGAACTTTCGTCATCTCCTTTTTTAAATGTTCAGATTTAAGTTTGAAATCAGATATGCTAGGATGGAAATTATAAGGCATACAGAAACCAGTCGACGTAAAAACAGGCCCATAGGAAGCAATTTCAGTTGAGGGGGGGGGGGGCAACCAAACACTTTCATTTGGGAGGCACTATCAACTACCAAAAATTCCTTGGCAAAAAAGGTCATCAGACATTATTATTGAGTACGCACAAACATATTGTAGCGAAGTTTTCTATAGTATTCTATATATTGGCAAAATTATTTGGGGGGGGGGGGGAGGGCACGGGCCCCCGTGCTCCCCCGGTTCCTATGGCCATGAAAAAACCATCATCGTTGAAGGGACTCTCTGAAGACAGAAGAATGTTTTTATGTTTTTAAAAACAAAGACATCACATATGCATGTACATGCAGCACAGGGAAAAATGCTATAAATCTTAATGCTACCTGTATAAATGTATTGTATTATATGTTTTTATTTATATTTTGAAAACGTAGTTTGAAATTAATTCTTTAAAAATTCTATTTCCACCTATTTGGCTAACATAAAATTGCCAGAAAGATATCCTGCAAATATTCTGGAAATACAAAAAATTGTCGGAAATGAAAAAAAAATTGTCGTAAATGAAATTAAAAAATGTCGGAAATGCTATGCAATATACCGGAAATGAAATGCAGTGAAAGAAAAGGTAGAGATTAAGTGAGCAAGCACATAAAATTATACTCTATACACCTAATAAAACCCTTAACCCTGGTAATGTTGATCTAGCATATATTGTGTTCATTTGAGATAATTTCTGTTTTTCAAAAGATCAGATATAAGCTTGTATCTTTTACTTGTTGTTAAGAAGCTGACATATACTTTTTTGTCTCTGTGTAAATCCAAGTTATTTCATATCATGGTCTTAAGAATTGGATGAAGTTTAAAGGGGGGGAGGGACAAGTGGAAAAAACAACCTCGAATTTGTTACATGTACGTAGGCGTCTATGATAACCCATTTTAAGAAACATTTGAATAAATGTAGGGAGACTTTTTTTCAATGGAGTATGCAACTGATCTTCATTGAATGTAAAGATATTAAAATATACCACAGAAGGAACAATCAACTATGTTTATTAAATATTTACATAAATTATAAAATTGCATATCACTTCATTTTGTACAAATTTTTAACATCCAGTGATTTAAATACATTAAATGTATTTTCGGGGCTTGCCGGAAAGGCCTGAGAAGATGCCATTCGGGGAAAAAATCTTAAAGAATCTTCTTCTCAAGGACAACAAGATTATAAGTATATTGATAACCAAGCACCTCATTCAGTGCAGATTCAGTTTGCCAAAATCATGGACCCGATAGGTAATTTGGCATGATCATATTAATTTAGGAAAGGGTCATTTCAACTTCTTAAGAATATATAGCGAAAATATTCAAATAACAGCAGGAACAGATAGATTCAGGTGAGACTTGTGGCCCATGACCCCTTATTTTACAAAAAGAAATCCTGGAGGGAGATAAAGTTTTTAAGTGAGAAATTCAAAACAAAAAAAAAAATTCAAACGTAGATAAATAAATAATGCATACAATAGCAGATAAAAAGCAAAAACAGAGATTTAATACATAGATTCCCCTAAAACGTTTTGTTCCATATTTTAAATGTATGATATTGTTGGTTTCAAATTTAATTTCAATTTGTTTAACACAACCTGTTTTTAAGTCTACGTTATTCTTTTAGTCTTTCGAAAACTTTAAATCCCAGTCACATTTCCAAAAATGACCAATGGCCGAAGTTTTTTGAAACAAAAATAGGATTCTTCGGGGGACAGTCGGCAGTTCATCGGGTGTTGTCTTGTCTGATTTTGAGTTCTTCTTTTTGCGTCAACCGGCCAATTTTGTGTCTGTCGGGACAAGTTATACTTTTTTCTGCGTTGGTGGCCGATTCCTTCAACATTGCTAGGATGGAAATTATAAGGCATCATTGTCAATATAAGGATCATTGTCCAACCATCGCAAGACAGTTTGTCATGTCGGTCATAGGTCGATCGACATTTCAGGATTGGGTTTTCATAAAATGTCAGCCGACGGTGAAAATCAAACAGCGGCTCAGCAAACGATGATCGGGTAAGGGTTGGCCTACTTAGCGATTTTTAACATGTAAAGGCATCGGTGTTCCTAGGAATTAAAAGGACATTGGCAAAGTTCCTGGTAATCGTATAGAATTTTTCAAGAACTCTTGAGTAGGTTTAATTGTATTAAACAGGCTATATTCTGGATTGTTTAACCTACCAAGCCAACCTTCCTTTTTAGATTTTGTCATATCAGTGTTTTTGCAATTCTCAATGCATTTCCTACCGGTATGTAAAATGTTGATAAAAGGGACCTACATAATTTTTCATCATAATATTTCTCCAAAACCCACTTATTTCATTTAATTTTTGTATTATATACATTACTGTATCTTCATTTCCTATGACTTATAGATATTTTGACTGAAAATGTATATATAAGGCATGAACATACCAGCACCGATCTTTTTTTTTGGAGTTACTTCCCTTAACAGCTATAATTACATATTATTCATAATGGTCAAGAGAGTCAGACTGGTTGATTGATTCTATCATTTAATTGACTAAATTGATTGAAACACATTGTTATAAAAATATTGGCATGGATTTATTTCAATTTTTATTCGTTGTTACTAAATGCTGCTTCCTTCATACAACATAGGAATTGATCTCAGTCTGTCTACCTTTCAGCATATATCACATCTTTGCTCTTCCCAGCATACTGAGCACAACTATGGTAAATGACGACCTGTTGTTCTTTGTCCCCTAAATACAATGTATAAAAAAGCCATTACTACTTTTCTTTCTTGCTGTATAGATGATTCTACCCATTGAAGGAAGTACATGTGCTTTTGTTTACCTCTGTCTGATTAAGTTTTTCAGCCGACGATACGATAATAATTTGGTCGCCCGACCATCGGCTTAAATCATTTAATAAATGTGACCTAAGTATTACTCGAGGTTATTGATGCATAAAACTCTATATTTAGATATGAACAAACATGTTTATCCTCTAACTGTTTGAAAAGAAAACTCTGCAATCTGTAATAAGTATAAATAGAATAATTAAATCCTGATCTTCCTACTCAATTTGAATCCTCTTACCAAATATTATTAGATACGTTTCCATAGTAACGATATTCTTTTTATTTATCTATTTATTTTTATGAGGAATAATTGTTACATTGTAATGCTTTCTTTAGTGATTATTTGAGAGTCGTACATGTATCCCCGAAATCTGTGACGAGTGCCAAATCTTTCAATACAGCGGTTACAGAGAATGAATCCCATACTGACAAAATTGCTGGCTATGTGCTAGGAATCGTTGCTATGGGATAAATGAGTACAAAAATATTTTCCTAAAACAAACACGACAATTTCAATTTTTCTCAAACACATTTTTGTGACTTGATTTAGATAGATTTTACAGGTTTACATGAATGTGTGTCAAAATTAAGTTTCTTTGCCTCGTTGCTATGGGGAAGTGTTGTTGTTGCTATGGAAATAAGTCAATGTACGATATTCAATAATTTGCTACAACATTTTATATTCTTTCCACCATCTCAGCATATACAATTATCATCACATTACTTGAATATTCAATTCCAAGACAAACAATACGATCCCAAAGTCAAATCTGTTTTACAGGAGGCATAGTGCACATTGGTTGTCATGTACTGGGAATCGTTGCTATGGGTTGATTAAGTACCACAAAAACTTTAATAAGACCAACATTTCATTGTCAATTTTGCTCAACGACATTTTTCTGACTTAATTTGAATAAATTTTTAATAAGATTACATGAATACATGTCAAAATTGACTTTCTTTGCCCCGTTGCTATGGAGAACCTGTTGTTGCTATGGAGATAAATAATTATACAATATTCAATAATTTGCTAGGAAGTCCTTTAATTCTACTTTTTTAAAATTTGTTTTTCGTTTTTGTAGATAACAATTCATTTGATTTTTCCGTAAACTTTTTACATTGTTTCTCATTTTATGTATCAAAATGCCCATATTTGTTGCTAGGCAACAAATTCAATTTTCAAAAAGGCCCGTGGATTTGACTTCAAATTCTGAAAGAGAAATTCATCTGCTTTTATGTGAAATACACGCAACAGCTGTATTAATCTGGCCTTTTTTTAAATTTGGCCTTGAATATTGCCAAAATCACGAAAAATGCTGAATCAGCAGAAATTGCAAAACATGTGTACCTTCCAATGGCTAGCACAGAACTAACTTAAGACCTAAATTTCTTTCATTGCATTATTAAAACACTTTAAATGTGTATCTTTATTACACCAGTAATTGAGAATAATTTTCATGATATTAAAATTTTATTTTAAGCCTTAAAGATAGGTGAATTTTTGTCCATCAACATGGAAAAAATTGCCGGTTGCTAAGGAAGTTTCTTTGGCCGGGTTTCCATGGTAACCATGACTCAAAACATTTTTCATTTTACATACATTGTTCATATTGCAAGAGAAATTTATGAGTGAAAAATCATCGAATTCTGAAAACCTTCATGTATCACTTTCATACAATTTTGTCTGATTTTTATGTGGACTGGTTCTTAAGTATTTACTGAACACTAAAAAGTACAATTACTCCAAGAAATCATTGTAATTTATTTAGATTACCTCTAGCCTCTCTTTAGCTGTGGGGACTCCCACCTCTATTTCTCTGTCTAATCTGCCAGGGCGACGTAAAGCGGGGTCTAGTGAGTCGGGTCGTACTGTAGACGCCAGAATCACCACAAACCGATCAGAATGTGATTTCTACAGTCCAATAAAATTAATGAATATTTATTAACAGCATAAAAGAATGATGCACTTCAAGGCCTAGAAAGACTAATTTTTTCAACATTTACCGAGTCTAGTTTGTTTTCTTTTTTTGTCTTAGTTGTAGTATGAGTTACATGTACCTCTCTTTTTCATGTAACATGGAATTACCAACTGAAATTTTTGTACACTTTATTTTATCACTCACTATAAGGTGTTAACATTATTTTTAAGAACTTGTTCATAAAAGATAATGCATAAAATGAAAATTTATCATAACATGAACTTTGATATGGAATTGAAGTGGAAGTTTTTATATATATTTAAAATTTTTTTTAAAAATATCTAAATTATAACAAATATGTATATACGAGGGGTTATCAGAAAGTTTGTGGACTGATGCGATAAAATTAATACTATGTAGTCTGTGCTTACGAAATTTACAAGGAACATTAACCATCAAAAGTTTAAGACATGTTGAAAATTTTAGCTTGATACATTGATAATTTGCCAAATTATCATATAATAATTTAATTTTGTTTGTATTCTAGCCTCTGATTGGTTAATATCCAAAAAGGAACACAAATTATTTCACTATACCCCCCCCCCCCCCCCCCCCGACAACCAACTGAATCATCTGTATCCATACAATCCTCTCATTTCCAGTCCTCGGGATTCATGGAAAATTCCAGATTCAATAAATGTACCTTTAACTTCAAACAATAATTCGATCTTACCACATGTAAACAAACAACAAGGCTGCTAGGCCTATGTATCAGTTTTTACCTCCCCTCGCTTCCCATCACTTCCCTTACTTCCGTTACTACGGTTGTATTATTGAGTGGCAAATTTGAACTAATAAAAAGCAATGAAATTTTACACCCATAGTTATTTAATGATTTTAAAATTAAATTATAAGGAATTACTCTAATTCTTGGCCAAATTATTCAAGTATAACCTGATTTGGGTCAGTTTACGCTGTTTTATAATCTGCTTCGCGGATTATAAAGCGTAAACTGACCCAAACCAGGTTATACTTGAATAATTTGGCCAAGAATTAGAGTCATTCCTAAAATAAAAAAGACATTATATGACCACCCGGCGCTGTCGCCGTTTAGTTTGTTGACGTCCGACAACGTCGTTGTTTATCAATGTCCACTCCCTCTATTTTATACACTTTACTTGATGAGATTCCTTGTAGTTAAATAACGATTCATACTGGTCTTGTTTATCTGATTTTACAATTTCACGAACAGCTGATTTCAATGCATATAATAAAGTAAATGGATCTATACATAAGGAACTTAATTATGCCAGCATAATTTTCTGGTTGGAATTTAATACCTACCACACATGTTCAACGTCACATTTCGACATGACTGAATTTGGACACCATGACTACAAATGGACATTAACTGCACATCTCTCCTCTCTCTGAATCTTTTTTGGCATTTAAAAAGAAGTGCTCTGTATGCATTTTCTTTCTCTGTAGCTCGTATGAACATTTCTTAGGTCTATGCTAGTTTTTCCAGGGGTAAAACTTTATAGAATGCTGGAAAAAGAAACTGTTCCCCTTTTTGACGTCATTTTCAACCCCTTAATTGTTTGGACATTCCATATAAATTTTACAATAAAACTTCATAGAACTTACAGAATGAGGTAAAAATTGCAGATTTTACGGAACAAGTGTGTCCTACCATATAAGTGAATTAACAGGATTTTGGGATGACAAATGCTCATATCTAAAGAGTTTTTCTCAGTAACACTAAGGTAGAAAAAACGCCATCTTCAAGGTTGCGCCGCCTGGACATACCATTGCTTACAAAACCATTAACAATTTATCAAAAAATTAAATTTATGATATACAGTTTATTATATACATAGAAAAGATTATACTAATTACCGTAACTGTGTGAAAATTCATTGATGTACCTTAAGCGGTTTTAATTTTATGGCGCTAGTCCACGAACTTTTTGATAACCCCTCGTAAATATACACTGAAACATCAAGGACAATATTCTGATACTCACAGAAGAAATGCCATCCATCAAGGTCAACAGAGTGGACAAGAGGCGACGCAGAGCCTCATTTTGAGTTTTCTCTCGACTTCCAAACATGGAATCAATATCATTCATAACAATAATACTTGGGGCTCTGAAAATGGAGCATAAACGCTAGGTTCATTTATACATCTCATTACAAGAATTCTTTCAGTTGTAAAATGACTACATTTGTAGAAATTCTTACCTTTCCTCTGCTTCCTTGAAAACATTTCTCAACTTGGCTTCTGACTCTCCATAATATCTACAATTGGTCATTTTATTTTATCTGATGTTTGATGTAAAGTTTTCTTGTACTTTATTGATTTCAATCTTGTTTTTAACTTTAATTTTTAATAAAATCTAAGTTCTAGTATAAAGCTTATACATGATCGATCAAATTGTCATTAAGGTGATTCACAAGCAAAAAAAAAAAATTTTCTTGACTCACTTGCTGATGATGTCAGTAGTTGATACAGTCTGTGTGAATATGTTCATCTCGTTACATACAGCTTGTATTAACAAAGTCTTTCCTGTGCCACTAGGTCCAAACACTAGAACACCACGAGGAGAGGGCAATCCTAATATAGAACACAGAAATAAACAGTAGAAAGTTAAAACTTCTCCAAATTCCTGCTATGTTCGCTTAAATGTTGTTATTTCTACAATTATATCTGAAATATTAACATTGTTCACAAGATAAGTCTACACTACAGATAAGTCTATTACCTCAATGGACAAAATCATGCAAAGAACAATAAAAGATCAATACTTCAAATCTTATCTATCTCTAAATAAATACTCTCAGCTAAGCTACCTACCAATATACCTAGTTTTACTTACCTGTAGAGCTGAACAGGTGAGGTGTTTTCAGGGGCTGCATTACTGTTTCCTTAAGGAGGGTAATCTGTGATGTCATTCCCCCAATATCACTAAACATCACAGCAGGAGTTCTGGACTTCTCTACCCCTACTTTATCTTCCCTTACTAAGCAGCACCTTGTTGTTGCAGAAATTCTGTAGATCTCTCCTACTCTCTGAGATGGCTGTTGTTTTACAGGAGTTTTGAACTGGGAAGTATCTACAGAGATATCTCCCTTCTGTGGGGAGACTGACGAGATGACAGAGTTATTCCTCTTTCCTGGACTTTCTCCGGGAGATTTCAGCTGCTGCTCTCTGTTGGGAGTAGAGGTGACATGACTATCCTGATACTCACTCTCATTAAGGACAGATGACTCATCTAAACTGGATATATTTAATCTGTCTACTTCTTGAGACAAACTAGTGACATTATCTACACTAAGGTCAAGGTCATTATCATTTTCTGTTACTGCTGTTAACTGTATGACCTTCAGCTGACATAGCTGTCCAAAGTAGGTCACACATATCTCACTCTGCAACATCAAACACTTGTGACCTAAAATATTAAAAAAAAAATCATATACAGTATATTCATAAGCTTAATAAACAAATAATGGAATTCTTCAGTTATTTCATCATTCAAAAAAAAAATAAAAAAAAATCAAAAACAAAACAAAAAAAAAAAACCAGGAAACTGGTGTGCTTTTTAAAAATAAGTTGATGATAAAAATGTATACTGAAAAAAAGATACTTACTGCATGAGAAATTAAAATTTCTTTAGGGAAATAAGCAATTAAAACTACTTTTAATTTAAAGTTGTACACTTAAATAAAAATGTAACCTTGACCACAGTGTCCTGCAATAATTTTTACTTACATACACTCAAGAGTAATATGGCAAACCATTCTTGACATCATTTTCATACACTCAAGAGTAATATGGCAAACCATTCTTGACATCATTTTCACAAACTCAAATATTTAGCAGTATAAATGGATAAGGGACACCACCATATTTTGTGGCGTTTGTATTAGGAAAGTGAAGAAGTTGAGTGTTTCAATGTCACACTATAGACTACACTCAGCCTTCAAAGCAGGATGACAGTTTGTAAGTCTGTTCTTATAAACAACAGCACAGCACCAAGATAAGGACACTTTTCTTACTCACTTCTGAAACAGTCTTAAGGTATGTCACTCGTGAAATTTGTTAGATCAAGGATTTTTTGAGAAGTATATTTTGGATAAGTACTCATATAGTATGACTCAAAATCGCAGAGAAAATGGGGGGTCAGTGTGCATCTAACTGAGCTACGTACGGTACAATTAATTTGACCTTTTTGCACTTCAATTGTAATTCTTTGGTTAATCACTTTAACCGTTATCATATTTTATAAGATGTAATCATAAACATAATCTTATTTTATGTAAAATAGTTTGAATATTTATCATTGAACAAATCACGCAAATTAATACGCGTAAATTATTGTGTGACCTTTTTGCACTAAAAAAGTCTCATATTTGGAGTATTAAAAATCTAAATAGGCAATAGAATATTTTCTTGTATCAAACTTTTTACAACTTAAGTGCTGATCAGTCAAAAGTATCGAGTAGTTTAAGATAATGAAAGAAAAAGTTGGGGTCAGTGATGTAAATTTTGAAATATTGGTCAAAATATGCAATTTTCAGGCAAAAAACTGTGTAAATTTTATCTTGACTTCCTTGATATATCTTCATTTCTTGGCAAAGTTTGTTGAGCGAAGGCGTAAATTTTGTTATAAAAATATAAATTGAGACCTATATTTAATATTCCAGGCATATCATAACGGAAAATATTCTCTGAGTAAAAGTATGTGAGGCTAAAGTTCCAAGATATTAAATTTAATAAATGTGTAGATTTGCAGAATTTTCTGCTAAATATCCTTCCGCCACAAGAAATAGTCCCTTATAAATCTTGCTTCTTTGTGAATTTTTGAGCAGTTTTTTAATTGAATGTTGAACATTTTACATTGTTTAATTTAAATATGTTATAAAGATTGAATTGTAATAAATAGTTTTTAAGTAAGAGGTTCTGACTGAAATTTTCTAAAAGGCTGATGAGTGACATACCTTAAACTGCTTTGGAAATACTTGCAAATACTCTTGGATGCAATAATGCTTTAGTCCTTAATAATTATCTTTAAGATCCCAATCAGTTCTCTTTCATTGCTGAGGAGATGTTTTATACAAATAATATGTCTAGCTTTACCTTTTTCTTTCTATTGTGAGAAAAAAAGTGTACATACTCAAATGGGAGATTTAGAGGGGGGATTCATCATGTTTTGTGGCAGAATAACACATAAACACATAAATACTAGACCTTTGGTTGTTGCCACTCCATAAAAGGCCATGAAGATATAAGTATCATATGACACCATCTTCCAGACTTATTACTCAGTTTGTGTTGCAAAATCTAGTTATACACAGGACAATGCTTGGCATTACATTAATTTTAACAACAAGTTGGGCCTTTTTTGGCTGGCAATATCACAGTGTTCTTTGAAATATCTCTATATACATTTATCTTTGTTATTTGCAAGACACATTTGGTGACATCAATAACTTCCAAAGAAGATCACAGGATTTACAGGGAACAAAACAACCCTGTGGTGTACTGCAAATTTGTGCAGCAACTCGCTTGCAGAGGACAAATGCTTCAAAGACCAGTTTTTTTTTATCCCAATAGCTGTGGACTGACAAAGTAAAATGATACAATGAAGAAAATTCACACAACTTTCTGTCAATTGTAAAAATGTAAAATCTTACTGAATGTCATATTAATACATTTCAATATCCTTTTCTTTTTCCTTTCATAATATTAACCTCTTTCACATAATTAATGAATTTTTTTCTTTGTCAAGTAAATTTTTAAAAAGCATCAGATTATAAACAAGACTTACAGAGAGAATTTTTCAGATATTTGACAAATTCCTCTATATCATAAAGTTGTTTCCATTCCCTGAAAAAGATGTTAACCAAAATACAATAATTACAATGTACTATGGTAACATATCATATTATTTTATACAAAACATTTTACACAGGTCAGTTGACTGCTATTGGACATTGTCCAGTTATTACTTTGGTTGAAATCTGGCCTCTGTCGCCCTGAGTGGGCTCTCTGTCAGGGCCTGTACAGTGACGCGGTCCCCTGTATTAAGCTCAAGCAGCCTCAGTAGGCTCTCAGTAACTGATATATTTGAGGACGGGGCACCAGACAATGGCCAAACTATCCTGTAAATCAAAGTAAATTAGTTAATAAATTAATTAAAGTTCCCTAATTTTAGACTGTTTTTATGTATAAATATAAACATACATAAATTTCTTACAAAAAAATTTGTCAAAAATTCTACTGAAATACAGTCAATTCATTAGCAAGAGGCCCAAGGGCCTTATCAGTCACATGAGTATAATACAACCCAGTAAAGGATTCACATAAAACATACATATATATTAGCTATATAATATAGTGTAGGCAAGTACACTATGTGTCAAACCCTGACTACTATTTCGGCATAGTACACACAAAGCACAATGCTATTTTTATTATTATGTTGACTGTTATATGATAGCAACAATTGAATTAAATCCCTTTGTACAGATGTACATATCCAATTGATAATTTTTCTGTACAGTTTTTAATTAAGCATAATTTGAACAAGCATTTTCCTTCTTCCCTGGAATGATGTATTAAATGTAACAAGCATTCTGAGAGTATTGCATTAGCAATACCAATCCCCTACCAGCAAGTGTAATCTGGTTCCCGTTAAAAATTGAAAATGCCATAATTCCGTCAAAAATCAATGAAGCGGAACGAAATGCAAAGTTCATCTATAACTAATCAAGGTTTAGTCACATACCAAAAATCTGCTCAATATATGCAAGTGCTTAGAAGAAAATTGTGGCAAATCCTTTAAAATTGAAAAGGCTGTAATTCTGTCAAAAATCAATGAAGCGGAATGAAATGCAAACTTGATCTATAACTTATCAAGATACACTCACATACCAAAAATCAGCTCAATATCTGCAAGCGTTTAGGAAAATAGTGCGGAAAACCAAGTCGGACAGACTGACAGACAGACAGACAGACGGACGGACAGCTAGACAGACAGACGGAGAGACTCAGAGGAATCCTATAGTCCCCTCCGGTTTCACCGGTAGGGGACTAATAATAATGAGTAATTCGTTTGATTTTTTTCCCAGTTACCACTGCCTTATCACCTCTTACAACGAATCTTTCTTGTTTCTCAAACATGTTAGATTATGAAGTCGTGTTGTGCTATGTAATGATTTTTTTTAGGTGTTTCGTGCAGTTTGACATAATTACAGATGGTTTTAAAGAATTTTAGAACAATAATGGAAAAGAAGGTTACATGACAACTATTTGGGAAAAATATTTTTGTTTATTTCTCCTTTAAAAGTGTCAAATATATGAAACTATGTTCATATAGTTCAAAATATAATAATGAATTTCAAAATACAATATATTTAATAGGTAATGATTTCTGTGACCTAATTTGTAGTGCATTTGACTGCTGATCTTGGAGTTTTTAGGGATCCCTGATGTGGGTGCTGTCAGATTTTCTCTAGGAAAAGAAGCCATGCACTATTTCAGCATATAATGCTTATGCTATATCAATCCTTTGTAAACTTGTTGGGTATTGACTACAATGTATATAGAGACAAATTTAAGTTACAGGAAGCATAATAATACAAAATAAACTGAAAGAAACAGAATAATCAGGCACCAACTAACTAAGAAGATTTTTAAAGATTGCATTAATTTTCATGGTTTTAGCCCCAACCCTAAGGCCCAGTGGATTAAAATCTCAATTTTTGTTTCCCTTTACCCATAGATTCTACATGCCAGAATTGGTTAAAACTGGTTCAGAGGTTTCCAGAAGAAGCTGAAAATATTCAACAAATACATGTATTGAAAATGCATTATTCAGTTTGTATGCACTTTTCCTGTAATTTATGTCACAAAACATTTAATTAAATTTCTTTCACTGAAAATACTACAGTAAGTTTTAAAATTAATTTCTCTGGAAGAATGTTCTGTCCAGATGAATTATTTGCAAAACCTACAAAAAACTTGTGCATTAGTGATTATTTAAAGTTTATTCTGATCTAAGAAGTAAGACCTAGGTACCTTAGTAAAAGACATAACAATTATACCTACCCAATATACTTCTCTTGAATGATGCATTCCTGACCAATGGACAGTGAACATAACTGCATCACTGATGGATGGACAAGGACCACATCATTTTTCATGGTTTTTGACACAGGTATGTCCACTGTAAACAGATAAAGAGGGACCAGTGCAATGCACTTATAGACATATGACAGATATACCAGAAAGTTATATAGATTATTGGGGTAGTAAATTTGGGTTTTACATGAATTTATCTCCCAACTGCCTCTCTATATGCATGACCTCTGACCTGGTAAACCCCTTCCACTTGATGTTCAGCGCTTACAACTCAGTCCTGGTCCTGATGTCTAACAGAATACACCTACTTGTGTTCTTCCTGTTTACTTGTTCCTTTGTCCCATGTTCCTTGTGTGTTGTTTACCCAGACTCATCATTGTTATATGTAAACGTATACATGTGTGTTTGCTGTTGCCATACTAGTGACTAACATAAGGCGCAAAGCCTTTATGACTATTGAGTTAGTATATTGTTTCTGAACTCTTTAACAAGACAATACATCAAGATTTAGCAGTGATATCACCATTTAGTAAAACAGAACAGGTTAGATGCATTTTCTTAATAAAATCATCCCTCTCTTAAGTGAAGGGCTGTGCAATAATATTCATATTCCGGTATATTGTGATTCGTTAACAAAAAATATCGTTTTGCGATACATTTTTCCAGTACCAATATACCGGCAAAATGCTTACGTTTGGGATTTCTAGAGTAAAATTTAAAATTTAAGATGTCGGAAACGTTTTCAATCATGCCAAACAGTAAGGTTGCTGTTCAATTGTTGCATTCTGTTGCAAAATTGGAGTGAAATCAACAAGATTTTTTTTTGCTACAATGTATTTATAATAGTTATACACTCTGCTTATAAATGGAGGTTAATAAAATAAGAAAAGAGCATTTTAATTGTTATTGATAATATTGTAATACACATCGCAATATAGTCAAAAATATCGCAATACGAAATTTCCAGCCGATACCCATCCCAACTTCAGTGTATATTGAATATTTACACACACATACAAAAAAATGAACTCAAAAATACAATTTTGATGAAGGAGAGAGGTGGGGGGTTGTAAGGTTGACTTCACTGCAACTAAAAGTGTGGAGGGGGAGGGGAGAAGGCAGCATTTCAATGAACATTTTCATACTAAATGAAAAGTAAAAGAGTATGTTCAGAAAAAAAAGATTATAAAAGGCATGAAAGAGAGTTGATCTCCCTGTTATTGAATTTTATCCAACCTACAATGTTCTGTGATTTACCCTGTTACCTGACGAGAGTGATACGACGCCATGAAATACTCCATCTTTTAGGAACGCGTGAGAAAAATCACCATGATTTTCTGCACTGGAACATTCAGTGACATGTGTTTTAAGATCCTTGGTATGAACTACACAGTGACATTGTATACATTCGTGAAAATCAACACGGTTTGCCTTTGACTTCGCAGAGCCAGAGGCAGGCATGGTGCTCAGTTGTCTACATCGGAAACTCAGTTATTCAAAAAATAGACAAAACCGAATGCGCTTAGTTTTCCGGATTTACACGTACCTGGCTATAAGTCACTCAAAATTTTATTTTTTCACTTTATATTTCATTGAAAAATGCATTTTTCTAAAATATCACTGCAATATTATTTGTTGCCCATTTTTATGACTAAAACACCATAAAATGTAGAATTCTTTGCAGTTTTCTTCTTATCATTTCAGAATAATTTTATCTGTAGGGATTGCAGTTGATATCACATGCCAAATGTGAATTAAGAATTTTAGGACTCATATTTGTTAAGAAATCATAGTAATTTGAGGTTAGAATTTTTTGTCTTGACGATTTAATAAATTATTCTTTATGATTAGTGTATCATTTTGTTAAGCAATAAAAGACAAGAAAATTTGAACAATTCTGCATGATTCAGTGAAAAAAATCATGGAAATTGACCTCACAATAAGTTTGTATAAAAATTGTTTTTTCAATGAAATATATAGTGTAAAAATGCAATATATTGTGACTCACTTATGACCATATACCGTATATATGCATAAAAAGTAACGTATACTTATATCAGGGACGTATATACTCCCTGCTAATATATTTTAAACTTAAAATGATCAGCTAACAATCTGCCAGGTTTTAACAGAACAATGCAAAGTTATGCAACATTACATAAACATCTCTTATTTAACTATAAAATGTCTCGTTTGTCAGATACAATCGCGATTTTGAGAAAAAATGTTGGGGAATCAGTGATGCAAATATAACCGGCTGTTTTGTAGAGTTTTCGTAACTTGTCTCTCCGCCTTGGTGGTCACTAGGGAATTAGCTCAACACTCGCAATATTTTACACATTTATTAAAGTTAATAAAATATATATTAACAATCTGAGGAATCGCCTTACACTGAGTATCAATACATGTAGCTCTCCATCTTAGCTTTGAGACTTTTAGATCCAATTACTTTATACATGAGAATTTCGCCGTCTTGGCTCCAAGATCTCTTCCTTGTCAATGATCTTTAAATGCATAATTCATTGTTTTACCTTTGCTGTGAATTTTTCTAATAAAACTTTATAATTTTTTTTGTCTTCTTAATTCAAATACATTTTGTTATATCTTTCAACAGTGTTCAAGTGAGGGTATATAAGAAATGGAGAAAATATACGAGATTTTTGCTCTGGATTATCAGAAATGACAAAACTTTCAACGCACAATGAAATGTAGAAGATTCATATTTATTATCAAGTTAAATAAAAAATAAAATAAATAAAATTAAATTAACCCCCCCCCCCCAATAATTGCTTTTTAAGTGATATTCGAATCTTGTGAGGATTAAAATCGGCATAGGTACTTATTTAAAAAAAAAATGTTTAACAGATTTTGTATAATATTTATGTACTTCTACATATATCGTTGCTACATTTAAGAAATTAATTTAATTTTTGAGAATTCATGAGGACGTGAACTACGACGCTTCACGCCGGCATATTTCATGATGCGCGCTAGAGCTTCATGATAAATATGCAGGCGTGAAGCGTTAGTTCATGTACCTCATGAACTCTAAAAAATTATAAATTCATATCTTATATTTACATTATTTTTCTGATGACTTGCCACATATTTTTGTCATTCAACGATCATTTTTTGAAAAAAAAATTTGCACTATTTTTTGACTTCAATTACGTCACAATGGAAGTTGATTCGATACGCAAGAGCATGCTCTACATATTAACAATTAATTTCTAAAACGAGATAAGTTATTAACAAACAAGTTGATGAAACAAGAATATCAGCTGTCTCGTTTAAAGTCGTCATTTCGTAAGTTCTATGGTCGATACAATAGCCTTTTCAGCAAATACAATTTATCATTAAGTCAAATGCTGACTGACGTTTTTCATACTAATTGTAAGATCATTATTTACACACTGAATTGTCGACGGATTTTTTCCGTTATTACCCGATCATGACAAGGAGCACACGGCGGGTGTGACCGGTCGGCAGGGGATGCTCACTCCTCCATGGCACCTGATCCTATCTCTGATGTTTCAGAGGTCCGGCCGTGTTTGCTCTGCTCCAAAATTTTATTGCTTAATGGACTTTTGAGCTTGAATACTGTTTGTTATCTCTATACATTTCATTGTATCCCATTCGTAACTGAGACTTTTTGCACTAAATCACCTAGCATGGAGTATGTTAGTACTATGGATTTTTTTAATTCAATTCGATTCTTAATTGGCACTTAATACCTTATATAACATGCCTCTAACAAAAATCTTGAAATTTCATTGGTCGGGAAGAATACTGTATAACACCATATTATGCCGCATACCGACATTATAATGTTAAAATGCCCCCCCCCCCTTCCTTCAACCTGACCTACTGACCACATATCAATTCAAAATACCCCCTCCACGTGCTAATTGAACATGCAAGGAACCATAATATCTGACATTACATAAGCATCAAACGACGTCACAATGTAAACAATTGTTACAGAACAACAGAGAAAATGAACTTTATTTTAAAAAAAACTAGACAGGATAAATGAGTTATCTAGATACTTACACATCGCCCAATATGCATTTTTCAAGGACGGACCCCATACATTTCTGTATTAATTACCCCTCTACGAGTCTACTTAACTAATAAAATATACTAGTATAGAAAAGCTGTTGCCATTTAAGGGCCTCTGGTCTCATAAGACAAACAAGAGGCCCAAGAGTCTTTACAGTCACCTGAGTGTAACCATTCCTTACGATAAATTAAAAACTTGGCATTTTTGATATCCTGGACAACTGATTCTTCAATAAAAAATGGAACTCGGGAATTTTGATATCTTGTGATTGGTCATCTACAAAATTACTTTGATGAAAATCACTGAACTCACGACTAAGACCAAAATTTAATTCTGCTTATAACTTTTAATTTACATTATATGGAAAATGGTTTTAATCCTTTTAAAAGGAATGTAGTAAGGTATTTTTACGCTAGCAATTTTAAAGAGAATCGTTAATTTTGCAAAATTTTATAATCATCTTATTTTAAGTTTTTGATCTTAGTCGTAAGTTCTTTTGTAAAACGGGCCGCTATTTTATATCTGGATAGTTTACTAGAAAAGGACGTAAATGGTAACCTAACAACAAATTTTATCCTGCAACTACCCTTTGTATTGACCTAATAAAGGTAACCTAATAAACCAAAGCTTTATTCGGTCAATGCCCTAATAAAGCCTTTTGCACGTATTCCAACGTTCTAAAAGCATTGTGACGTCATGAATATTGCAATGTTTACGCCATGGCGTCTTAGTTTTAACTGCAGAGATGTACCTAAATCGGTTGAAAACAGCTCGTTTTGGAGGTCCTGTAAAAATGTGTTGCAGGATAAACAAAATACATGGAGACTGTCTTGAAATATAAGCGATATTTGGGCTCGGGTCGAAAACGTGATAGGGGCTCGCCAAGCCTCGCCCTTTATCACGTTTTCTTACCCTCGCCCAAATATTGCTTATATTTCAAGACAGTAACCATGTATTTTATATTTATGATTAACTGATGGCTTCAACTTTTCTATCGTCAAATTCCCTTACTTATGAAGCAATATACCCTTATCACCTGCAAATGGATTTTATGTCTCTCAGTTGATTCGATACGCAAGAGCATGCTCTACGTACGAACAATTTCTAAATGGTGGCAAGCTATTGACAAACAAGCCGATGAAACAAGGATATCAACAGTCTCGTTTAAAGTCATCCTTTCGCAAGTTCTAAGGTCGATGTGGTCGAGTTGACAGCAAATACAAGCTTTCATTAAGTCGAACTGACTGACTTTTTTGATACTTATTGTTAGGCCATTATTTTTAAAAATACTGAATTATCTATGATTTTTTCCCCGTTTTTCCAAATCATGACAAGGAGCATATGACGGGTGTGACCGGTCGGGAGGGGATGGTCACTCATCCACGGCACCTGATCCCACCTCTATGTAGTTTAGAGATCCGTGTTTGCTCTGCTCTCGATTTGTATTGTTTCAATGGATTTTTGAGCTTGATTACTGTTCCTTATTTCATTGATATTAAAAGGATGCTGGAGCTGCTCTTTGACAACATCTATGTAGTCTTTAGAGACCAATGTCTTCCTACAATCTGTTGGAATTCCAATGGACATTATTGCGCTCCTTTATAAGTTGACCTGTTTCTATATTCCTATGAAGCAGAATTTATTTAAAATTAAACTTCCACATAAGAAAAAAAACCACTTGGTGTGGCCTTCATCAGACAATCAGATATATGGACAGCATTTTATCAACGATTAATTCTTACCTCTACCCATATTTTGACTCGATATATCCCAGTGAACTCGAAATAAAGAACCACAGGGTCTGTCACATCTGTTTTATATTTGGATGTTTACCGACTATAGGCGACGAGGGCCAACTCACAACTAAATTGTATGACAAGAGATGACTTCATGCTTTTTTATCATTAACTTTCTGTATATTTGTAGTAATATTCCACTATCACCTGCATATGTTATTTATGTCTCCCGAACTATTCGACACGCAAGAACATAACACTGTGCCCGATAAACCTGCCACTTACAAAGTGGCAAATCGGCGCCCGCCAAACTCTTAGTTTACATAAAATCCATATATACCATGAGGTAGACCAACACTTACAGAGTGCTCTGGGTATGATAAATTTTTAAACCAAGACAGACTTCTGACAAAATAGTTGATGTGAAATTAAAAAAATGACCAGACACATAATTATCGACTTGCTCTAAAATTCAGGCTATGTGAACAAATTTCTTTAGCTCAGCATATGTCTTTTTATACTGGCTAAAAACCTGCCAGATATCTCATTGTTATCTTAAGAAACTAAACGTTATGCCCAGAAACGATGCTAAAATGTCAGGAGTGCAAAACCTTTTAGTGACATTTTGATTGAACAGATAAAATATATTAATGCCAACAAATATTGAATTTAAAAATTTCCATGACAATTAAGCAAAAAAAGAAGAAATTTTGAAAGTGTATAACAATAAAAGACAGACACAAGCAGCATTAATTAATGGGCGTCAAATATCTGGGCATTTATGTCAGGAGTGCAACATTTGATGTTTTGCTCTCTAACTTGGAAAAAATTTAATTAGCATAATATGTTTTGCTTTCTTTTTTTTGGAAAAGAAAAACGAAAGGAATCAAATAAATCTATCATTTCCAGAATCTGTCTGTGTTTAAGATCCTTATTTTCATGGTCAAGAGTGTAGTTCATATTTTTATACAGATTAAAGTTCAATGATCAACAGAATCCTATTCATATTATTAAGTCTTGTTTGATCAATAAGCATCTTTTTGAATTATTTACTACTAAATAAATTACAGTTTTACTATAGAAATCTGTTCCTTTTTCAATTTCATCAATTCAGATGTGCTTTTATTTATTTATTTATTTTTAAATAATTTTTGAAGAAATTTTAAACACAACACTGAAAAAAAGTTGTAATAAAATTCAAATAAATACATCATTGCTTTACTGGAACAATGGAACCATGTTCAGATATAATTTATGCTTAACAACTATACCTTTAAAGTCTCACATGCTCTTGGTCAAGAGTGCAAGAAAAACGTTAGAAATATCAGTGATCGCATTTGAATATACATAGACAAAAATTGATGAGTAGAATGTTTCTGCTTGACCTCAATTGCTAACACTGTTTGTCCCATGAAGTAAAATGTCCTATAAATATACCTTTATTTTTTTTATTATGTACATTTAAAACTAGCTTTACGACATTAATAGGGAATAATTTGTGAGATAGAGCCAAGTATAAACATTTTTATGATTTTTAGCAATTCATCAATTCAATCTTTATTTCCTGCATGTGGAGATTTGATAAACAAAACAACAATTACAACTTATCGACATCAATGAAAATAAAAAAAGAAAAAAAAAAGGGAAAAAAAAACTTTCCGTAAATGATAAAAATATCAATAACAGCTTTACAAAATTAAAATGAGATATTCTGTGTATTTCTTTAAAAACAATATTTGAAAAAAAATTCTACAGATGTATGAGGGTCATTCCAAAAATGTGTAGACTTTTGTCATAATTTTTTTATTTAACGTTATATTATAAGCAGATTTGGTACACGTATTTTAGCAATAGATTTAAATAATTTGAGTTAAAAAAATGGAATATATCTTGATATTTATCAAAATTATCAAAGATTTAAGACAGCAAAAATGGGGTCCCGGAGCAGGGTCAAAATTGAGTTATTTACTAATTATATACCTTATAATGTCTATACTCATACCATGAAACTTCACACATCGACAAAATATTTTTTTGTTTATTTGTTGTTTAATGTCCCTATCGAGAATTTTTCACTCATATGGAGACGCCACCACTTGCTGGTGGAGAGCTGCAAATTTTGACCTATACTCGGCACTTAGGGCCATTGAACAGTGACCGGTCTCCACATCCCACAGTGGGATCCGAACCCGCGAAGTAAGGATCAACTCCTTACCCCGTGACTCTAGAGCGAACGCTCTAACCACTGCGCCACAAGGGCGACTCGACAAAATAAATGTTTTTACATAAGAACATATGTTGATCTTAAACTTGTAAAAATAATATGATGATGAGGAACATTGACTACGTAATTTTTTGAATGACCCTCGTAGATGTCAGGAATGCAACAAAACAAGGTAATAAAGAATCACTTTAAAATCTAGTACTTTTTAAAAGAAAACTTACCATAATATCAAACATTTGTTTTGGCTTAGATTTAAAGAGTTGATTGAATTGACAAAAAGGAATTTTTAGAGAATTTATGACATCATAATTCTTTCATATAAAAACTTTTCAAAGCAGAATTGAGAAATTCATGTTAAATAACAACTGATTGTCTGTTTACAGACTTACATTGTTTGTAGTCTTTTTTTTTTATCGATCACTGTTTGTTATCGTCACCTTTTTCACTAAACTCTATATGGAATGCACAAAAATATCGAATAGAATGTTCTAGCAACATTTAAAATGTCATTTTATTTCATATTTTTGCTCAAATTTACAAAACAATAACTTTATTTTGCCATAGATTAGCATTTATTTGGTATTTCTACCTTATCCCAAAGTCTAAAAGGCTATGAATGAAGAGATAATGATCTCTGAACTTTGCTTTCATTTTTTTTAATAAAATATCGCAAAATTCAGATAGAACAGTGTAATTATAAGGCGACGACTTCAGTCTTTTTCTTTTAGATCAAGCACTGAATATAGGAACTAAAGAGTTTTAATGTTTTTTGCTTTAGCAAAATTAAAACATAACCATCAACGTTTTACTTTCATACACTATACCAAATACGTTTTAATTTCCATTTGTTTCATAAAGTATTTCATACAGTTTAAAGGAACATAGACACAGACTTTATCCTTAGAGTTTAACAAATTGAACACACCCATTGAAACGTAAACATTAACAATAACAGAGCTTGTGCCTTGTTTACAAAACAGTCTACGTTCCACCGGGTGTGTTTCATTTGTTAAACTCTGCGCACATCACTGTGCACGGACTGACAATACTGGTGAGTTGGTTTTGCTTTCTCACATTTCTACTCTGAATTTTCTGAATTATATCTTTAATTTCTTCATTAATACACAACAAAATTTCTACCTTTTTTAAGTATTAAGGATAAAGTTTAATTGTGAAAGTGCAAGTATGTGTCAATCACACGCGTCCCGAATTTCGTAGTTTCAATAATTTTCAGATAGAATACGTCTTTTATTATATTTCCCTGTTAAATGCTATAGCAATATATGAGTCATGATATAATACAGAAAATTTGAGAAAATATTAACATCTGTGTCTATGCCCTTTAATATTGTATCATGAGGTGATAAACGTGTTATACGTTTATACGTTTATATATGCTAATTACCAAAGTCCTACCTCTCAAAATTCAAACAAGAAAACATTGATGTAACCATCAATTGTCACCCGGGAAATAAATAAAGTAAACAATGGAAATGAGTCTTGATCATTAAACCGCTTCGATATGTGTGAAAAAGGCATGCGTCTAAATGATGGAGACGATAGTAGAGAATATTTTGAAAACTTATAGTCGGATGAAAATCGAACAAAAACGATACCCTTTTAAACTTTATCAATTCCTCAAGTAAATGTTGGCTACATAAAATATAATTTGAAACCAGACACATGCATCACCTATTTTCAAAATGTCTTTCACTTTAAGATTATAAAACACGAACTGTGTAAAGTACGTTTTTACGTTTTTATGCGATAAGTAAAATTCGATGTTCTAAAAAAAGGGACCTGTCGTTTTTTCGATAGTAAATGATAAGCAACTTTATATATTAAATATGAAAAACATATATATTTTTACAGATTCACTTTATGGAAGTAAATATATTGTGTATCTCGTAATTTATAAAGGGAAAGAACATTCTGATTAACAATCTTTTTAATGTTTAGAAAACCTTTAATTCAGAATAACTTCTCCCACCTCAATCCCCATATACCAACACTTAATCTTGTATGTATAGAGCAGCCCGGTCCTCCGGGCTGCAATAAAGGTTCTGAGTATTCTTAAAATTTAGGTCAAGGTCAAAGTCAGACTGAAACGCTGGTATTTTTCAAAGCAACCTGTGACAAGCAGTGCCCATGATAATTAGCATAGACATATCTTCTATAGTTCTTGGAACATACAATTGTAAATGGATATTATGAAGTATTTTGAAAAGCATGCAGGTCAATGGCTAGGTTCAAGATCACAAGGACAGTAACCCGGGTATTTACCAAAAGCCAATGTTTCAAAGTATTGGAACTAACTACAATGTATCAGATCCCTACCTCTTACAGTTATCATGGTATAAGTTGAGACAGAAGGATACTTAAATAGACACAGGCAAAGTAATCCCTTGGTGTTGTAGACACAAAAAATTAGTTCGCTTTGTTAACTATTTTGTTTTCAAAAACATCAAAACTATAAAGACTTTAAAGGAATTATGGTTTGGTCACCCGCAACTGCTCTCTCAGGATCATTTTAAGGATTCATAAGATATGAACGTAATTATTAGAGTTGTTGGATTCTTGGGATTTGGTTCTGTTGACCCCTAGTTGGCTGTAGTGATGATCGCTTGGTTCTGTGTCTTCAATACTTTTGACACTAGTCTGACTGCCCCGGGCATCACTGGACTCCTGCGGTTGTCTCCTGTTGGCCCTAATTTGAAGGTACCGATGCTCACCAGACACATTCTCTGTAGTGCTGATCCCTAACTGACTGTACTGATGGTTTAGCTCTGTAAAGGAAAGAGAAGTCAGTGATTCCAAAGATTCACATTATATTTAAATAGCGGTTTTCTGTGCAACAGTAGTGTATCTTTTTAAAAAAATATATGTGTGCAGTTATAGTATATTTTCATGAAAATATATCTGTCTTCATTTTCTTGGAAACATAAGCAAGAAAAAAATATCTAAAAATTATGTATTTGCCGATTCCTGGTTGAACAAAATTTAGATTTCATTAAAAGCTACTCACCAACACCCAATGTTGCGTAACCATTGTCCTGTTCAGTTGTTATATGTGTTGTGTGTCCATTTTTTGTTTGCTTTGTTTTTACATGTAGTTTTCTAGAAATTAATTAAACATCAATATAGAATTTTTATGAATCACAATTTCTAATGATGGAGTCTTGCGACTTGGACATATTTGTTATGTCATGCTGTTGAGTTACTAAGATTCCCAAATTAACACAACAAATACATTAATAAAATGTTTGATGAAACATAAAACCATAATTATGTCAACAGACACGGTCATTTCAACGCTTCACCCCCTCCAGTTTTCTTCGTAAAAGAATTGTGAGATTTTAGTTCGTTACAGTACGTTTCTAGGCTCAGCAAAATAAACCCACTTCTAAAAGAAAGTTTTAAAGTTTTTTAAAAAGACCTTTCAATTCCAAACTACTAGCATTTATAAAATATTTCATATATCTAATCTGTTTCTGTCGATAACAACAGTTTGGAATAAACTGATTTAAAGAATAATCAGGCATAAAAGGAAGTAATCACAAAATGCCATTTTCATCATGAATTATCAAATGGGAGACAAGAGGGAACCTAATAAAAATGAATTTGTAAAATAAAAAAAGTTCAAATAAACCTTTCAGATTAACTTTGTATTTCTCATTTAACATTGAATTGAATGTATCAATCACTAAATAAAAAACTGTATATTCAAAATGAAAATTGTTACTGTTGTATTTTCAGCGGGAATTCTCGCCTCCAAAATAAAGTTCTCTTTATGTGAGATCTATACGATCATTTCCTATGTCATATGATACAGTATTTCCTATGTCATATGATACAGTATTTCCTATGTCATATGATACAGTATTTCCTATGTCATATGATACAGTATTTCCTATGTCATATGATACAGTATTTCCTATGTCATATGATACAGTATTTCCTATGTCATATGATACAGTATTTCCTATGTCATATGATACAGTATTTCCTATGTCATATGATACAGTATTTCCTATGTCATATGATACAGTATTTCCTATGTCAAATGATACAGTATTTCCTATGTCATATGATACAGTATTTCCTATGTCATATGATACAGTATTTCCTATGTCATATGATACAGTATTTCCTAGGTCAAATGATACAGTATTTCCTATGTCATATGATACAGTATTTCCTATGTCATATGATACAGTATTTCCTATGTCATATGATACAGTATTTCCTATGTCAAATGATACAGTATTTCCTATGTCAAATGATACAGTATTTCCTATGTCATATGATACAGTATTTCCTATGTCAAATGATACAGTATTTCCTAGGTCAAATGATACAGTATTTCCTATGTCATATGATACAGTATTTCCTAGGTCATATGATACAGTATTTCCTAGGTCATATGATACAGTATTTCCTATGTCAAATGATACAGTATTTCCTAGGTCATATGATACAGTATTTCCTATGTCATATGATACAGTATTTCCTATGTCATATGATACAGTATTTCCTATGTCATATGATACAGTATTTCCTATGTCAAATGATACAGTATTTCCTATGTCATATGATACAGTATTTCCTATGTCATATGATACAGTATTTCCTATGTCATATGATACAGTATTTCCTATGTCATATGATACAGTATTTCCTATGTCAAATGATACAGTATTTCCTATGTCATATGATACAGTATTTCCTATGTCATATGATACAGTATTTCCTATGTCAAATGATACAGTATTTCCTATGTCATATGATACAGTATTTCCTATGTCATATGATACAGTATTTCCTATGTCATATGATACAGTATTTCCTAGGTCAAATGATACAGTATTTCCTATGTCATATGATACAGTATTTCCTATGTCAAATGATACAGTATTTCCTAGGTCATATGATACAGTATTTCCTATGTCATATGATACAGTATTTCCTAGGTCAAATGATACAGTATTTCCTATGTCATATGATACAGTATTTCCCATGTCATATGATACAGTATTTCCTATGTCATATGATACAGTATTTCCTATGTCATATGATACAGTATTTCCTATGTCATATGATACAGTATTTCCTATGTCATATGATACAGTATTTCCTATGTCATATGATACAGTATTTCCTATGTCAAATGATACAGTATTTCCTACGTCATATGATACAGTATTTCCTATGTCATATGACACAGTATTTCCTATGTCATATGATACAGTATTTCCTATGTCAAATGATACAGTATTTCCTATGTCAAATGATACAGTATTTCCTAGGTCATATGATACAGTATTTCCTATGTCATATGATACAGTATTTCCTATGTCATATGATACAGTATTTCCTATGTCATATGATACAGTATTTCCTATGTCATATGATACAGTATTTCCTATGTCATATGATACAGTATTTCCTATGTCATATGATACAGTATTTCCTATGTCAAATGATACAGTATTTCCTATGTCATATGATACAGTTGCACATATATGTTTAAAAGAAAAACTCAGTCATATACTAGTAACTTATATGCCGGTTGAAACTGAAGTTTATTCAGAAACATATTGTAACTAGCTGTGTATCCTAATATTGTTTGAGTACTTCGATGATAATGACAATTTTAACGAGAAAACCAGATTATGTTTTAAAATCACCCGTCCCTCCCTTATCCATGAAGAAATATTTCTTTCAAATTAATATGAAAAAAAAAATAGTTTGAAATTGTAGTTTGGAGAAATTTTTAGTCCAATTAATGTATTTCAAACTTAGCATTCAGTTTCCTGTCATGATTCCCCTTCGCAAATCGAGAATCAATTAAAAAATCGTCAAGACAATCATTTTGAGATAAAATGATCGAGGGCGGGGAAACAAGGCCTAAATTCTTTCCGTAAAGGGATGTAAAAACTGAACAGGAAAGCGTCCTAAACACTCCACACCTTTGCTAAATTCTTACCTTGCAATGTAAGATAAAGCTATGGTGACCCCAACAAAGACAACCAAAGCGAGAAAAAGACCACCGACAAGAGCTCTATATATCTGCAGCTGAGAAGAGGATGGAGTGGAGGTAAGCGGCATAGGCACAAACACCTCGACGGTAAGGTCTGCAGAATAAAATTCATGTCATATACATACTTATTCAGATGATAAATGAAAATTTATAATCATAATGTTTGCATTTTCATACATGGATGGTCTTCAGTACTAGTATTTGATAGATTTTAAGATTTTTAGATCATTCTCTGAGCTCTTTACAGTTACATGTATATAACTCACTTTGAGATCTTACTAGTACTCACTCTGATCACAGTGTTGTCCTCCCCAGCCGTCAATACACTGTAGACACGCTCCTGTCACTATGTCACATTGGTTGTTCCGGCAGTTGATGGGACATTTCTTTTCGCAATTTTCTCCATAAACTCCTGCTGAAGCACACCCTATTTTGGATGTGATTATCGTATAAACAATTGGCTTTTTCGCACTGCAAATTTTTCTTACAATACAAGTATTGAAGGAATAAAACGTGATAAAGTAACACAGTAGGAGCACTCACCAAACACTTGGACTTCACAGAGTTCCGCATAGGTCAAATCTTTTTGTCTCCAATTATAGTACGTGACGTAACGCCCATGACGTGTACACACGTGATCTGATTCCAGATGAAATACTGTGCCATTGTTCTGGTAGCACAAGTATCCTTCATTGGGGCTATTTGAACATTTGGTGTTCGATATATAAAGAGAAAATCCGGCGTGGTACTTGAGTCTTAATTGAACTAAAACAAAGTGAATTTGAACAGTTCAACGAAAGTTAGGTGCACGTACGTTCCTTCATTGAAAATGATATGGATTAAGATACGGAAATTGTATGACCAGAAATATAAGTGCAAACATGTCAGAACTTCCCTTCTTCGTGAAACATATTTTCAAACCATGTTTTTAAAAAAAAATTTAAGTCGCCATGATTGAGTAATAATATTGCAATAAATGTATTTTTCCATCGTAAATTAAACTTGTTTCGGTAAATTCATGAAATTTAAGGAAAAAAAGGTAAGCAATCTTTGACAAGTATCGCAAAAAGCACTTACTGTAGTTATCGCTGTCATTACGGTAGAAGACCCGGATGTCATGGATACTTTTTACTTCGCCTAAGTCGACCCTCCACCACACAACGGACGTTTGTTCTGTGCTTGCGCAAGATGCAAACCTCTGATCTGTGTTATTATCAACCACAAGATTGGGGCCCGCTTGAACTGCTTTTGTTGAGCTTTGCTCAGCTTGTCTATTCAACGCAAGGTTGTCTGTAAATAAGTGTTTATTTTACTCACACTCTTTTAAACAAATATATATAACTTAATTTTGGTCATGCTATAGGTCCGAGAGTCTGTTCCAATACAAGCGCTTTCAACATCAATTTTGACGTCAATAAATTAAAATCTCAGTAAAAAATAAAGTTTTTTTTTTATATTTCCAAACTATTTTACTTGGATCGTACATAAATAACTTGAAATAATTAATACTAATTTTGAATATGGCAAACCAGACCCCCAGATACATCAGAAGTGGGACCCGGTGCCTCTCGTCTTAGAGGAGTAAAAGTTTCCTATCGACCGATCAAACCAATCATGACCCCTCCTGTATTGTTTAGGTAAACGGAGAATAGACTTTAAATAAGGCCGCTTTAGAAATCCGTATGACATCAACTTATTTTTCAGTACCATGAATCAAAAGCTGAAATCTTACAATGAAATATGTGGAGATAACGAAGAGTATTCGAGCTCAAAATTCCATTAAATATTACAAAACAAGAGCAGAGAAAACACGGACCTCTAAAACTTCAGAGGTGTTATCAGGTGCCATGGAGGAGTGAGCATCCCCTGCCGACCGGTCACACCCGCCGTGTGCTCCGTGTGACGATAAGGAAATAACGAAAAAACCCGTCGACAATTCAGTGTGTAAATAATGGCCTAACAAATAGTATGAAAAAAGTCAGTCAGCATTTGACTTAATGATAGATTGTATATGCTGACAAGGTCATTATATCACCAAAGATTGTACTGACAGGGTCATTGTATCGACCAATGGACTTTTATTTCGTCAACATTTCATAGATTATTTCAACTTTCAAAATTTATGGAATAATATTTTTTTTTAAAGAATTAATATATAAAGAAAAATGTTTAAAATTATCTTTCAAACAAAGAATTTTGCTGTTACCCATTTTTCACTATGGAATGGCATGGACCTGTCCCAAATATTAACATACTATTTTTGATCTCTGTTGTGGTCAAATACACATTGTTTCAGTTGATGAACAGTCGATACCACAGATCTTGGAGCCTTTGATTTGATATCAAAAGTTTAATCCAATGATCTTAAAAAACAAGTTTTGATCATATTGAATAAAGAAGAGTTGCTCTATTTCAAAATTTATTCCCAAATGACATGCAGCATGTGATCTCAAATTATCGTATTGAGGGAAAATTTGGTTAATTGGATTTCTAATGAATTTATTGAAATTACTCTGGATAATTTCTCACGGTAAGATTTTCATTAGAGACAACTGAAAGAGTTTAGAACTATCTGAATGTTTCTGCACGCCACACGGAAACATCTAGAATGATGATGAACAAGTCTTTCTAAGAATAACTCCAACTTCCAAGCCAAAAAATTAATTGTTATGGCTCCATAAATAAAAAATGAATGAAACGTTCTTGCATCACTGTATTTCAAATCCGGAGTGTGGCCAACCATAATTTTTTCATGCCTCGCATTACATTAATGTTGTAATATTGAATTTTTTTCAGGTTACCTTACAGAAATTGCGCTCTCGTAGTAAGTTTTATCGGTCTTGAGGTAAGACTTTCATTTTGGAGTTAGATTTAAGCTGTTTGTGGGAAATGTAATGGTTATATGACGTCAAATAAGAATTTCCTGATACCACCTCAATAAAGACTGTATAGTATTTCGATATTTCTTTATCAGAAGAAAACATTAGCTGTGGTATTGATAATACGTTGTCGATATATCTAAATGTCAAGTTGAAGGCCACAGCAAGTGTTTTCTTCCTCTCAGGAATAAGATTTTGAATAAATCCTGCTTCATATGAATGCAAAAATAGGTCTGCTAATATGGAGTGAAATTGGTACATAATGGTATTCCGACAGATTGTTGGAAGACCTAGTCTCCAAAAGCTACATAGATATTGTCAATCAGAAACTCAAACTTCTTTTCTAATATCAACTTCAGAGTACTTATGTATGCTATCAAAATGTTTTTAACAAAATAATGATGCAAATTACCAACGACAATGAAAGTAAATTTACGAGTTTCATTTTCATTAAAAGAGCTGTAAATGATGTCAAAAAGCCTTGTCTTTAATTCAAATGGGGAATGGTTGTATTAAGTGATGAAAAGTCGTACGTTTTGATGTTACTGATTTTGGCAAAATCTGGTGGTTTCAAGTTTTCTAAAAGTTCCTTGGAATTTTTAGTATCCACACCTGATATTTTAGGACTTTTATAATATATTGTTGTACAGTACTACTGAAGTTTCTCCTTCACTACTGTTAATATCTTATTGAGGAGTAAAGAAAAAGGCTTGGTAGAACATTTCCTGGAACCGCTATGTATCTTTGTTTGTAAGGATTTTTATGACGTTTAGGAATCCATTATAGGTAAGGTATTTCAAATTCATATTTTGATTGTTTGGAATTTAAAAAAAAAATAATGCTGACATATAATCATGAAGAATTTCCTCCTTAGAAAAGGAACTATGGGTATAAGTAGGATTACCACTTGCAGCATTAAATCCCAGTTTCTCTAAAAAACAATTAAAATAACGAGCTTTACAAACAAAGACAGTTTGTCAGCTGGGACCAGTACAAACAGATCATGTAATCTGTCTAATTCTCTTTTCACTTCTGAGTTATTGAAATAGAATAATAGGTTTTCATATTGCTCCTCAATCGCTTTATGCGAAATTTTAAACATCCATCTGATACATTTTATCCATTCCGACAAGAAAAATGGATGACTTTAACATTTCTATCGCCAACTTCCCTTATTTATTTAGCAATATACCCTTATCACTTGCAAATGGATTTTATGTCTCTTAGTGGATTCGATACGCAAGAGCATGCTCTACGTACGAACAATTTCTAAATTGTGGCAAGCTATTGACGAACAAGTCGACGAAACAAAGATATCAACAGTCTCGTTTGAAGTCAACATTTTGCAAGTTTTTTTGTCGATCCGTTGAGCAAATACAATCTATCATTAAGTTGAAGGCTAAATACATTTTTGCATACTTCTTGTTAAGCCATTATTTACACTCAGAATTGACTACGGATTTTTTCGTTTGCCGTATCATGAAAAGGAGCACAAGGTGGGTGTGACGGGTCGACGAAGGATGCTTACTTCTCTATGACACCTGATCTCACCTCTGGTGTTTTTAGAGGTCAGTGTTTGCTCTGCTCCCGATTTGTACTGTTTCAATGAACTTTTGAGTGAGATTACTGTTCGTTTTCTCCATGTTTGATAAACAATATCGATCTTATGATAATTAACTAGCAACCATTCCACCTGCACGAAGACACATTCTCATTTCTTTGGGGCATTGCTTGCAGGATAATGAATTCAACTAATCTCGTTTTTTTAATTCCAGGAAGCTAGAGGAATCTTCTACACTAGAACTGAACCAAACTATAGACATTCATAGCATGATTAAATCACTTTTGTATTAAAAACTCTAATTTAATTAAGCTTCATACACACTTTGGTTCGAACAGTCAAGAATGCAATTAAAAAAATCTTGTATGCAATTTACTTGTAATGAATATATAAAATGCAAACAGAAAGACTCACCATATGTCTTGGAAAATTTCAAAACTGTGACAACACAGAATAAAATATGAACGTATATGTACATATTCAGAGCGTACAATACCGTCAAAAAGTATTACGGAAGCATTTCACATAAAACGTGATCTACGTGACTCACCACTTGAGTGTATCTACAAGTCCGGTATTGTTCTCTATAGACAAAATATTGAACATCACTGAAAATTGATAAGAGTACCCTGATCTCGTCAAAGATTTTATATTTCCTGCAAAGATACTCCCTGCCAATAACATTTACTAAAATAAGCTGATCAAGTAAAGGTTTTCCTTCGTCAATTCTGATTTTAAAAATATTTTAGCTTTTAAAGAGATAATTTCCGGAGATATTTCACTCATAAACAGATAGGTTAAGTGGATCACACAGTGATGGTTGCTTGTAGTGAACCACTATAATAATAATAATTATTTATAAGTGCATAATTTAAAAGACCACATAGAACATATACAATGTTGTAATTTAATGTCTAACTGATGGCAACCAGTTAGATTTTGCTTTAGATTTTCTTTCCTTCAAGTTCTCAATTTAGCAGTTAAACTGCTCATTATAATCACACCGAATTCTATAATCTACTAAAAAGTGTGTGTATCATCCTGTATCGTTCATCTTATCAATAAGGAGGACTCACAGCGGTCAACAGGGGGTGCTTTCTTCTTGGCACCTGATCCCACCTCTGGTAATTCCAGGGGTCGAGTGTTTTGTCCAGCTCAGTATCAGTAGTGCTTTCAGGATCTACGAAATTGATCATTGTTTGTTATATTTCCCACGATTGCATTATCTATCAAAAATGTAGAAAATGGAAGTAAACTAGGCAAAATTCAAAGAAGAAGAAAAAAGTTTCCACCCTGCTTTATTTAATTTAAAATCTAAACTGATTGACAGATTTACAAAACGATGAGTATTAATTGATTTACTGAGGCTTCCATTTTATCCTTTACTTCATATAATAAACATTTACATTGAAGTCATGTTTTAAATATGTCAAAATGATTGTCAATATCGGTCAGAGAAATATCAAATCATATTTAAAAAACATAGAAATTACTAAAATTCATTCCAAGTCAAAGTTGAAGCTTCCTGATTAGTATAAATAACATTCTTGATGGATGGTTTTTTTGTGAGGAAAGACATTCTAAAAGGAATGTTTTATGAGTAGTTTAAATAATGTATCTAGAATTAGACATCTCCTAGAATCTAATAATAAGAACTTGCGATACTTCCTTCACCTATATACCTCTCCTTTTCCTCTGAACAAACTGTTGAAAAAAATATAATAACATCCTGCCGTGAAGGAAAAATAGCTCCGAATATCAGGAATCAAGACAAGAAAATGAACATTGACAATTTTTATCATGCTCCTTGATGCTCTTGAAAAAAGAAATATTTCCTTAATGTTGTTCATAATAAATTATATAAGTGACACAGCCACCTTGCTGTAGACCTTATGTCACCTAACTTTCACATTAAGATCTCAATGCTAGTCCTTCAAAAAAGTAAAACTTTGAAAAAAAAGAAATCAGTTTTCATGTCATGGTTTTCGAATAAAAATTAATATCGGTCTTATAGAATAGGATTTCCCCTCCAAAATCTTTCCCTCGGTAAACTGGCTCCAGAGTAGGATTCCCCCAGCTCCCCACGGGAAAATGACTATAGAGTAGAATTTTCCCAACGGAATTCCCACATCATATTCAATTTTCCGGGGGTGGGGGGGATGGGTCCTACATTGTGAAATATTATAGAGTGCGATTTCCCCCTGCGCTAATTTCCTCCAAAATTAAAATATGACTGTAATATGTATGGAAGAGGGGCGACTTATTGTTTCAAGCATCCCTTCTTCAACATGGTGACTTGTTCCATTGAAACATACGAAGTATGAAGATTGAAAATTTAAAATATCATTGTACTCAGTAACCAGTCTTTTTGAATCATTAAAATCTTATTCTTTTCATCTGATCAAACTGTTCTACAGAAAAATATTGTGACAATTTAATTAGCTGGACATATGTTTAACTGTATCCGTAGAAAAAAAAAAGAGTGTTAATTTACGTTTATTTTTTCACTCCTATTGCATTTCAAAACTGCATGTACATATTATTGATATTTAAGTGTCTCTCCAAGATTCTGGTATTTGAATATCCTGCCGTTGCCAAAGAACTAAAAGTGGGTCATTTATTTTTAAAAATTTGAAATTTTACAAACCTAGAGAGCATTTGCTCTCAGCTTTCAAATCCAATATTACACCTCTGGGGTCGAGGGGACATACGTATGCTTCAGCTCGCAAAAGCGGTGTTTTTTTTGAGTGACTAATTTTACTTTTCCCTGTTTGATAAAATATTAACTGTTTAACGGAAATTAATGAGTTTGATATCATTGAAAAGATGAGAAAAATATACACATACTATGACGTCATTTGAAATGTTTATTTCCGATATAATTTTGCCCCAACTTACCCACTGAATAAATGTCTACAATCAAGATAATTCTATTTTAGAGGATATATGATTCAGAACCCGAATGATGAAATTATAAAATAAAATTCTTTAACATTACTTTATTGATTATACATCAGAGTGAGAAACGGAGGAAGAAAACTGATTTTTCCGTAGCCCGAAGATGAAAAGGAGCACACGGCGGATGTGACAGGTGGACAGGGGATGTTTACTACTCCATGGCACCCGATCCCATCCCCTGATTTTTTTTTTTTGAGGTTTGTGTTTGCTCTGATCCAAATTTGTTATTTTTCAGTGGACTCTTGAGATTGATAACTGTTCGTTATCTTCATATTTCATTTCACAACTTAACACTTCTTTATTCTTTAGATATTCAAAAAATACTTTTTAATATTTCAGCATTCATTATTATCTTACTTATGAATCCTCAATTATCAAAACAGAATTCTATAAAACAGTGAGTAAACATCGTTGAAGTGATATACGTTCTTTTAATGCACGGTTACCAACAGTGTCTAATACAAACAACATTACAAAAATCTAGACGGAATGAATCTTGTATATGTAATATCTAATATCATGTAAATAACCCGCGGTAAACGGAAGTTTTTAAATAAATTATTTTTTACAGCGGAGATAGGAGAAAGGATTGCATTTAAAGTCCCGGGTGTAACAAGTACAGAAACATCTTTCTGGGATTCGTTTCATTTGTTAAATTCACCGTCGTTGTCATCAAACGAACGTTTCTACCTTTTAATATATATGCAAATAGATATACAATTTATTCAGACTTAAACTTGAGGTTCCACAATACATCAAGTTATCATATTATCGATCTGAAGAGCATGCATATGGCTTAATAAACCGTATTGCTGACCTGTGAAGTTTGATGAAATACAAAGAGTTTAGTTAAAATTAATGCAAGACTAGAATTTAACAATATATTACAGCTCAAAATTGAATTTTAAAGATATATAGAGATTTTAGAAAAAGTAAAACAAATCTTGTATACTTTACTTTTACACCAAATCAAGTCTTAGGTTGATACACATGTAAACTAGTTCTAATTGTAACGGAGACCGATACAGATGTTCCCAAATGCTCCCCTTGCTCCATTTAGGGCCCCACTTGCCTATATGCTTCAACAAATTAAGCAAAACCATTGTATTATAGACTTTAAAAACTTATTTTCAAAAGTATTTTGAGGAAATAACAATGCAAATGTAGGACAGCACAGTGAGCATGGGCAAATCAGATTTAAGTACACTTGCAAGCATATTATTTCGAAAATTACCATTTACTTGTACTTAATCTGATAGAATGTCATAATAAAAATTTCCATTTTAAATTTCAAAGAATTTCATTGAAAACATAGAAAGTTACAGCAACATGAATATTAAGCAATCAGAAATCAGTGCGCGTGAATGATGTCCTCGTATTCATTTCTGATGATTGAATAATGTAGGAACATATATTATTTATTTCTACACATGCTATGGCCTTCAACTCGACATTTCGATATATCAAAGACGTATTATCAATTTACAATAGTTGCTTCCATTCGATATATCCTAGTGAGCTTGAAATAAAAGATATTACAAAGTCTGACCATCTGTTTCATATATACCGTAGATATTTTACTAGAAAAAGACGTTAATCGTAGCGTAACAACAAAGCTTTATGAGAAACGTGATGACTTGCTAATAAGGGGACGCAATTAGTACCCTTGGGAATTCCAACAGACTGTTGGAAGACCTGATCTCCAAAAACTACATAGATATTGTCAATCATAAACAGAAGCATCTTTTTAATATCAACTTCAAAGTACTTGTGTGTTCAATCAGAGTGCTTAAATAAAAAATAATTAAATAAAAATAAAATAAAAAAAAAATTAAAGTTGTTATGTTCGACTTAAACCGGATATGAATTCTTGTCCAGTAGTCCGCCAGTTCTCGGAAGAAGCAAGTGGAGGTACGATTCTTTCGGATTAGAATATAAACCTTATGTTCTGTGTCGGGTAGGCAATGGTTCAATCAGACTCCTTAGCGCGTGAGTCTGAGACTATGGTATAATTATTTGTACCTAAAATTAACATATCAGGGCTGGCTGATTAGAGACCTAGATGAATATTTTTTTCTCTTGAATGAAAGTTATATATATATATATATATATATATATATATATATATATATATATATATATATATATATATATATATATATATATATATATATATATATATATATAACACGGACCTCTTAAACATCAGAGGTGGGATCAGGTGCCATATCAAACTGCCATACAAAATCATAATCGATTAGGACTAGTAGAAATAAAGGTAAGTTAGATAAGATGATATCAAGATATATGGCATTTTAAGATTATCTTCGGTATTTTTTCTGATAAAAAAGGACAATCTATGACGGTGTTTTTAGTCTTAATATTTTTCAAAAGTAGTTTAATAATAAAATTTTGCATAATTTTTCTTATGAAAAAAAGTGAAAATATGAAACTCATTTACATATTTAAGGGAACACAAATTGCTCGACCATATACAAAACGCGGCCTGGAATTAGAGTTGATGATTAG